TCATTATGTAATTAGTCGCAACTGTAGCCTCAAATCATCCATCTTACTAATGAGTGCTCTGGCGTTCATCAGAAAAAGGCTAGGAAGCGGTGGTCTATGTGGCTGCCTGCATAGCCTAGCTAATGTGCTGGCCCTGCAGCCTCACTTCTGCTTCCTCTCCCTCCGCTGCCTTTGCATCCTTGCCGTGGGGATGGTAATCCACGGAGAACCAGGGCTCCTTGCTATGTCCACTGGTATCCTCTGCAAGCGGAGAAACTCAGCTGTAACTCTCTACTCATAGCAAACTCCTATCTTCAGGAGATCATTCTGACCGTAGGTGTTGTTTGCCCAACAAAATGTACACAGTACGAAAAACAACACGTACACAAACCACCAAACAAAGCACTGACTGAAGAAGCACTGAGCCGCTGCAACAACGTGCACCGCCATCTTTAGTACATTCCATTACATGGGTTAAAATCAGGACCCAGGAGGTGAAGGATTTCACCAAGCATATCAACTCTGTGGATATCAGCATTAAGTTCACTCATGAGGATGCCAAAGATGACTGTTTGGCCATTTTGAACTGTGTGGTCTACATAGGAGGAGACAGAAGCCTTTAGGGGCGAAGTATACTGGAAACCTACATACACGGACCAATGCCTTCTTTTTGACTCACACCATCCACTGCAACACAAACTGGGAATTATCAGAACCCTAAATCACAGGGCTGAGGAAGTGCTCACAACTGCAGAAGGGATCAAGAAGGAGGAACTGCACATCCACAATTCCCTTAAGGTTTGTGTATACCTACAAGTGGGCCTTCACCAAAGCTAGGAAGAAGCCTAACACCAACAGGGAGAAACCTGAAACAAGAGGGGATAACACTCTCTGATAGTGTTATTATTATATTTACAGGACCCCTGCAGTTCACTACAAGAAATGTTCTCCATTATTAACACATTCTCCAGGATTTCCAACTACACAATAAACTGGAATAAATCCATCATATTGCCACTCTCTGAAGATGCCTGGGATTCTGCAGCTCAAGACTGCCCCCTTCCACTTCACACTGGCAACATTAAGTATTTAGGTATCAGTATTTCCCCCAGGGTGTCAGAAGTTTTTAAAACTCCACTACACCCCCCTGCTAAAATAGATGATTTCAAACACTGGTCCAACCTCACACTCACTCATTGGCCAAATTGCTACAGTCAAAATGAAAACTACCACAAATTAACTATTTGTTTTCAATGCTCCCCACAACACCCACAGATAAATGTTTTAAATCACTTGATTCTCTAACTTCACAATTTTACTGGAATAACAAGAAACCCAAAATTTCTCTGTCAACACTTCAGAAGAAGCAATCACAAGGCGGCCTAGAAGCACCACATTTTGAGCACTATTTCTTAGCAAATCAACTACAATATTTAGTTAAATGGATTCAGAAGGACAGTTATAATAGCTCATGGATAGAACTAGAACAAAAGCAGTTGAAAAAATACTTCAGTTGCAGACCTTGCCTTCCTACCATACTCAATTAAGAAAATGAACTTTTGCTAAAATATCACAATCTCTGCAACTCTGAGAGCCTGGTGTAAAGTAAACAAAACTACTAAAACATCATTAACACCGTGTAGTTACACTCCAATTTGGCACAACCCTGACTTTAAAACTGCATAACAATCCCATCTACCTTCCAACATGGCAACACAAAGGAATCACACACCTTCATCATCTATATGAAAACAACCAGCTCATCTCATTCAATACATTAGTCCAGAAGTACGGAGTTGGGAGAGGAGAATTTCTCCAGTACCAACAGTTAAAATCCATAATTAAATCAAAGATCAATATAATCAACAACCTTCCATGCTAGCTGAGGAGATAATGAAATTTACAAACTCTGTCTCTTTGTAATCATGTAATTTGTTAATTTAATTTTTATGAATTTGTACACATGAATACTGTATCTGTATGCATATGTATATATTGTATTTATATGATCAAAATTGCTTTATCCTAATTAGTTGTTTCTTTTATTGTTATTTTATTATTACAATCATCCATTTTCTATCAAACTGTCTTATTTACCCATTCATATAAAAAATAAAAAAAAGATTTGGATGGCCCTCTGACTGAAGTGAATACCAGTGTGGAGGCAGTAAATGTGAGGTGGAAAGTAACTGCCAAGAGCACTCTGAGGGTCCTGTTCTTGTTTACAGTTGATCCTTTTCCTGTTTTGGTAGAGCTTCATATTACAGTTGCTATACTATATAGTGATATGAAGCAGCTAGGGAAGCTGTTCTATTTCCTGTCATGTTAGATTTTGTGGATTTAGACCACCAACCTCACCTTGAGTTAACCTCACAAGTCAGGAGTGAAATGTTTCCTCTACTGACATGTCATTCAGGATAAGGCTCAGCATCTGCTGCATGTCAAAGCCAGCAGGTCTAATGATAGACTAGATTTACATTCCCATAAGCTAGTGGTAGTACAACATGCACTCCCTAATCCGAACCTAAACAAAACATCTGTTCTGGATGGTATGGTACCACTCTCACACCCCCTTAAAGGGGCTCTCCACACATTTTACAAATGAAGATGAGTTTATTCATCATAAAGATTACTAATCTGCCTGGGAAAATACAGGGGATGTATAATGTCTTTTGTAGCTATGGAGGGAGCCTTTGTTCAAACTTGTATGTAAAACAAAACATCAGAGCAAAGCAGATTAACTTTGGTGAAACTGTCTTGAGCTTTAGAGAGCAGAGAATCCAAACCACAGGAAGCTATCATAGCTTTTTAGCTGGAATCATCTACTTTTATGCAACCTTGTTCTGCTTAGAGTATAAAATCCTCCAAAACAGAGAAATGGTCTGCAGACTGTAATCAGACAATAGTTCAAACATCCCTGATTAAGCTGTGATAACTTACAGTATTATCTGGTTAGCCACTGAGCAGTCTAGCTTGCAAACCGAAAGCTAGCTTGGAGAGTTATTGCCTGGAAAGTGTTTTAATGGTTAACAGCTTGCCAGCTACAGTAGTTCGTCAAGTTACTAAGCTTCTAGCAACACCTACTTCACAAGGACATATAGATGAATTTTGCCCCACTGTTTCTTGTACTGTATAGATAGTACTAAAAGCAAGCCTTTGTGACTTTTGCTGAACAGTGGCCAAAGAAGCATCAATTATGGGATAAAGGTTAATCCTAAAACATACTGTAATAGTAGCAGAGATAGTGAGGAGCCCCAAAGCCAGCAAATTGTCTGTCTGTTGCAAAGCAATATCTGTCTTTCATTTCCTTATATTAGCTAACATTAACTGCCGTAACCTTCTGGTCATACCAGATCAAATAAACATTTTCCTCCATATAAATGTGCTATTTGTTCCTTCAAAAGTGACTTTATAAAAAATGTATCTGTTTAACCTTTAATAATATCATATGGTGTACCTTAGCATGGATTTGGAAACAACATATTTTTATTAGACAACATGCTTTATAAAGTGGGGAAGTGGATATTAAATGGTGAGAGGATTTACCAGGGAGGGAGGTTCTAACGGAAAGATGTGTTCAAGTTATGGGAAATGCACAATGCTACTGTACATATAGTGTCAAAAGTCAGAAAATCTCAGCTTGTGCTGCTTTGATTTTGACCATTTAAAGAAAAAAAAATCAGTAAATGTTGTTTCCCCAACTTTGTGGAAGTTGAATATTAATTGCCTGGAGCATACCTTCAATGGTATGAATGGAAACAGATTTAGGTAAAGATAGCACCAACACCAGCTGTTAGAAAGATAATTTACATCCAGGATCAGTCTCCAAGATTTATAGCTATTGTAGAAGAATTTTTTTGTTTTTAAGTGGAATATTAGGGCATATTTCATTGATAATCTTCTTTGTCCTTTGTTTTAAAGAGTTTTAAAGACATATTGGATGCATCATGAATTCATTTGTCAAAACAGGTTTTGTTTGGACACAGTACAGTTCTAAGATAATATATTAAAAGATGCACTATCCCAGCTAGTAGAGGACCTACTCCCTCTTACAAAAACAATAAAGCACAAGCCTTAAAGGTCAAATAGCAACTCAGAATTCTATGCTTACAAAAATGTACTCATTATACATGTATATTATATATTACTTTCATAACCTAGCTGAATTTCATCCTGCCTTTCCCAAACCACAAACTAATGACAAACACAAAACGCACAACTGTGAAAGAATGTGATGTGTCATCTAACAAGTGGCTTCACCCCACAACTGGGAAGGCCTGGTCCATCCATCCACAGCAGCAGCAGCAGCAGCAGCAGCTTCTTCTAATCTTTATAATGACAGGGCCCTTAGCCAGCAATTTTCAAAAAAGACAATCCACTGGGAATGAAGAAGGCATTCTGTTGAAAACATGAGCGGCTCACATTTGGCCCTTTTTCAGCAGCATAGTCCAGAATGTGCAACAGAGTCTTCAAAAAGCTCTCAGATATGCTACAACTGCACAAAAGAGGAGCTGAGGGTGTGATAAATGGGTGAAAGTGCACTTGTGCTTGTTATTGTGCTGAAGCATTAGCATGATTGGCAACTTTAAATTCATTTTCCTTTAAATGCATTTGTGATGATGCTGGGAAAGTTTTAACACTTGGACACCAAATTTCCTTCAACATATATTCAGCTGTGTTAGTAAAAACAAACCTTGCACTGACAAAGACGATTTACAACATTCAGACTACAGGAGCTCACTTAGGATTAAAGGGGAGCCTAATAAAAGACAAATATTCAGAGACAGAAAGGGGCACATTTGTCATCAAAATAACGCCATTTGATGGATTAAAGGGAACATATAGAGAAAATAAAGAACAGAAAGGCAGAAAATGGAAATCAAAATAATTTTTTAAAAAATTTACAAAATAAGAGGGCGAAGAAGAAGTAGAAGAAGACACCTGAGCAAACATCTCATTATGTTCCTGAACAAGAAGGCTCCCCAGCAGAGAGCACCACATTCATTTAGACATGTCCTTACCTGATATACTAACTTCTGGCGCTTCCTCTCCTCTTTCTTCTTTGTGTTCCCCACTTGTCTGCTGCCCTCTGCTTTCAACAGGCACTACCTCATTGACAAACGCTGGCTCACTCTTCACTGACAAACTCCACCCCTATAAGAGTAAGTAGAAGGAGGGACACAACAGGGGCTGAGGGCAGGAAGAACAAACACCTCCTTCTTATTGTTGCTGTAGTGGGATCGGTAATCGAAGCAGAAAAACCTAAAGACAAACACTGGGATGAAAGTCTTGTTTCAAGTGCCTGGTGGTTTGTCATTACTAAATAGAAGTGGGCAAAGATAAAGGGCTTAACAGTGCGGTGTCTTTTAAGGAAAAAGCTAAAGTATTTGTGCTATTAAAAGGATACATGTCCTCAATTACCACAAAGCAGAAGTGTGACTAGTACATATAAAAAACTGAGACATAAAACATTTGGGACTATAGACCTATGCTGCCTGTTTGTCTTTGTATGGCAGCACTGCATTTGAAAACTGAGGCTTAACTCTGAAACTTTCCACTTTTCCACTGCAGAAACTTGATTCCATTTCCCTTCTTTTATTGTTGTTACCCCAACACATGTCCCTGGGATGGGGGTACAGTATTGTTGAATAAATCACACATTATACATGGTTGGAGTAACTTTCTTTTTGAGAGCGTGTTCTCATTTGGAAAACATATGTCATTTGTTGAAATGTGTTTGTCTTCCTGACTAGCATCCTCTTGTAGTCATGTGAATAGTGACTGTTGTTGGTCAGAGCATGAAGTTGTGTGACATTTTTGCGCATGCAAAGTATTTGACTTTAATAACTACTGAAAGAGTAAAGCTGTCAGCCATAAAACCAAAACAATGAGCTGAAAGATGCTAAAAAGCTCCCTAGAGCTGAGGAGAACTGCAGAGGTGGTGATAATTCTTTGGCGGTTTCACTTTCACATTAACCAAATATGGTGAAGAAGAAGAAGGCGGCATCTGAGAAAATATCTCATTGTGTTCCTGACCAAGAAAACTCCCTAGCAGACACCTACAGTTCGACCCTTTGTTAATATAAAATATTAATTAGTCTGGTTTAAATATACACAACACTGGCCATTAACCAAAAAACCAACAAGTGGTAACACTGGCTTTGTAATTGTCCTCTGTACAGTAGGTAAGAGTGACTTCTAATTCTATACTTTGATACAATAAAATATTTAGGGACTGCGAATTATTATGTCAGTTAATTATAAATATATTTATAACTGTTAAAATGTTGACCTGGCTGTGATTGTTCAGCATCCCTCACAACCTCTGACACTGAGCTTGACCTGGCCAGTGAGCTGATCACCACAGACCAGGATATCGAGCCTCAGCTTACTGTCCAGCTGATGCTGATACAAAACAAACACACAGACTGTAGGAACGGGGATAAAATTAGTCATGCAGAATGGTACATTTCACATGAATGTATTCTGTACTGTTGGGTTATAATTGCGTTCATTCTACGTGATCTGTTGTAGCTGGTAAAGGTGGAGCTAATGTGAACTATCTTACATGCCATTTTGATAATCACATGTTTGGAACATAGTAATGTGAAGTACTTTACATACTGCTGGGTTGCTTGTGAATTTCCAGCCAGAGATCAGTCTTATGATCATACTTGATTTTGTTTTATCTGATTCTGAAAAGTTAGCAGTTATCAGCTACATGTACTACAGTAAAAAGTACAATATTGATGTTAAGTGTCTGAGTATCTTGAAAAGCACTATGTAAATAAAAGGAAGTATTATATATAGTACAGTACTAGTGTTAAGACCAATGGGTCTTGTAAACAATTTCGGGCTCAAATGCGAGACTCATACTCTGGAACGTTTAAGAGGTTTCATCGTATACTGGTACAGGGAGATAATGACCAACAGTCAACAGTTTGTGGTGCAGGCCTGTGTAAACTGGATCAAGTCGAGGAAGGATGAGGTGAGCAGGCCGAGTAGGTAAAGAGTGGGGAAGCCGAGTATTTGTAGCAAGGGCTGGCAATGCTGGTCAGGAAGTGAGCTAGTTGTCAGAACCAGAGAGGAGTTGCCCCGGCCTGTGTTGTGTAGATGAAGGGCTGGCTAATGAAGATGGGAGAGGCAACATCAGAGAAGCGCTGACTGACAAGATAGAACAAGAGGCGAGGATTTGTTGATGTAGCACCAGAGGAGAACTGCCTGGTGTAGCCAAGTCAGTAGCAGGCTGGTTGCTGATGCAGGAGTAGAGTGATGCTTGGACAATGCTGCCTGGTGGTGCTGAGCTGGAAGCAGGATGGCTGACGAGGCGGGGTGGAGCAGGCCCAGGAGAGCGCTGAGCTGGTTGGCAGCTGGTCAACGAGGCAGGAGTGGAGCACCATGGAGAACAGACAGGCTGAGTGGAGGAAGAGCTGAACAGCTATAGAGTAGCTGGCTGGACTCTCGTGGAGCTGGACCGAAACTATGAAGTAGCTGAATGGGCAGGACTTATGTGGGGCTGGCTGGGAGGTGCTGGCATTGCAGGATCAGCAGGAGACACATCGAGCTGGTCGAAGGTTGCTGGGGTCACAGGGAAGGCTAAGTGTCAAGGAAGTATAGCTCAGCTGGAGTAGCAGAGCAAATAGGGCTGCTATTGAGCAGGGATAGTTCTGCTAGGGATAGTAGAGCTGACAGGGAAGAAATGGAGTACAGGAGCAGCGAGACAGGGACACAGGTTAAAGAGGGCTGGCTAGAGCAGGAACAGCACACTAGAACTCACTGGCACTGGGGAGAGACTCAGCCGATGTACACCGATAAGACATAACATTATGACTGCCTGTACATCTGTATAGTGCAACACTTCCACCTTAACATCTGTATTTATTTTTTCAGTTTTTGGTGAAATTGTCATAAATGTATAAATTCAATTATACGTTCATTATTGAGGTCATAGTTAAAGGTGGTGTTGGACTGGACCACATTATATTCAGAGGTGTCTGTATATTTTTGTCCTGTTACCTTAAAATAGACTCAGCTGTATTCTTTATTTTCTCAAAATATTACAACAGTCTCAAAATAGTTTTTCCCCTCAACATTTTACTTCTAACATTGCCAGTTGTCTCAAAATTTCCCAAAGGTGGAACTAATACTCCATCATAACACAATTAGTAATTAACCGATCTTGTTTATGTGTTAATATACTTTTAATAGAACAGTCAATGATTAAGAAAACATTTTATATATTACTTTTAACACATATCATACTTCAGACTGCAGTATAATAGCCTCAGTCATTTGTTGTTGCTCATGTTGGATTCTGAGTGTTTCCGGTCAGTGCACCAGCCCAGCAGCTGCCTGATCAGGGCAGTGCAGCTCTGAGGGCCATTACAGTCCAGGGCAGAGTGTTCATCAAAACAAAATAACATTCCTCAGCCTCTGAACGACACAGTTATACTACGTCCTGACAACTCCTGTGGTTCCAGCATTCCTATTAGTCTAAAGACTGTTACGCTACAGTGCCAGATGACAACTTCAGCAGCACTCTGACAGGAAAAGAAGTGCATATACAGGATCATACCTGATTGGTTACAAGTTATTCTACTTCAAAATGGTTCATGGAGTCTGTGTGGAAGTTTTTGATGTAAAGGTGGTCTTCCTCCTGCTGTGCTCCATCACAGGCTTGTTGCTGACTAATTACCGCAGAGATGCAGAGGTTGACCAAGAACTCAACAAAGCTATTTTGGAAATGCTACATATCAGTAAAGTGTCTGCAAGCTATCACGCCAAAGCGCATCCCTACATGAGGAGGGTCTATCAGCATCTGGACTCACTGGAGGCTCAAGACACTGAAAGATCAGATGGAACGCTAGTGCAGAGTTTTCGCAGTGTTGTTGGTAAGCATTTGAAATAAAGACCATTAGCAATCTACTGTAGCTAGTTTTGCCTCTACTTATTAAATAACTACAGCAACCTTACAAAACCCTAAGCATGGACATTGATGCATATGTCTATTCCTGAAGAAAAGAACAACTGGATAATTAGCCTTAGCAGTGTTCTAACAATTATGCTTCTGCACTGGAGGAGCTCTCAGAAGTTAAAAGTGCAAAACAGTGGCTGGCAGACCGAAAAGGTTATGTTGTTTTGCACAAAGAATCAAGGGACAAAGAAAGAGCAAAAACCATGGTTAACATCAGTTTGGCTTTTTGAGACGAAGAGCATTAAAAGCAGCCAAAGGGGTCAGTATTTAAAGCTGATGTGTTTGTTTTGGTAACATTAGTGACCTACTGTAGCATGGCTGTGATTTTACCTTTGATTAAATTTATACTATTTTAATCTGGGAGTAATTCAAGCTTTCTGTAATGTTAGTGCTTTGTGTCACATTAGCAGCAGCCAGATCCTTCTACTGGACTGAGAAATTTACTTGCCAGTCAGTTACTATTAGCTTTGGACTGGAGGTGGCTTTTGTAACCTACAATTTGTTGAAACCAGGCCATGTGCATGGGAACATATTTTTGGGGGGATACATGCACCCATGGTCGTGAGTGTGCATGTGAATGTTTAGAGTAAAATTTGCATGGAATTAGTGTATATTGGCCTAACATAAAATGAAAATGTGGCCCATGTTCTGTCTAGCTTTTCACATGCTACATGTTTGAATGTTTTCTAAAGTTACTGTTTAAATTTCATTCAGTTAGATTTGTATTAACGGAATGTTACAACATAAATGTGATCCTAGTTATGATCCACAATTTCATTCATATCATTTAGCTTGTCAGAATAAAACAAATTTTGTTACTGGCATAACTCAGAGCATGACGAGATGCCTTTGTGGTTTACACCTGAAGATGAAGATGCTCCTCATCCTCAGCCCTTCTGAACCCAGTGGTTCCAACACTGACAATCACATAATGCCAGAGACCACACTGCTGCTCTTTCTTGCAGTGACTGGCTCTGCTGTGATGCTGCTGCTATCACCAGTGTTAACGTTAACTGTTGTAACTACTTCAGCTTCAGCATAAGCAATGTTATTCCCAGTAATGGTAGCATTAATTTTTTTATCTTCTTTGAAATTATTACATTACTTAAATAAAAAAAACTGTTGTTTGCTGTTGTTTACCATTATTACTTGCTAACTGTGGACTGTGGAAAGCTCCCTAAGGGGGAAGTGGTTTTCTCAACAAATCATTTCATAAATAAATAATTAAACTATTTTTCCACAACCATAGTCCTCTGTTTTAATCCACAGTTTGAACAAACTGTGTTTTTAAAATTGGATTTCTTTTAAAATTTTATTTCTTTTATAATTTTTTTTATACATTTATTTATATATTTTTATTGCTGATTACAAAATGCTACTACCTGCAGCCACCACTGGGGGGAGACAGCCTCCCCAACAGCAACCCCTTCCCATACTATTGACCCAAACAATTGTAGTTTAAATCATGGTTAGGAAATAGGATGTGATGGGAGGGGCAAAAGCGATTAGGAGCAGCTTATGGTGTCCCTTTGTTTTGAGTCTCATTAGACCTTCTAGCAGCTGGAAAGAAATTAGGCAGAGTAGCTTTTTTAATACTAATGTATACAGTATGTTGACAGGGCACTTTTTTGCTACACATTGGTGCGATCCTTTTAAAAAGTCGTGTCTTGCAGTATTAACTAATTTTCTTCTTATTTTATGGATCACCCAGGTCCATATCAGGCTCCTCCAGGTTGGATCTGGTTCAATGTCAGCAGCTTAAACCCCTCCATGTTGTTTGCAGAGCTGGTTATGTTCAGAAAAACCCTCCACCCTGCTCCCCTCACTGTGACTGTCACCCTGCACAGTATCATTGCTTCACATGGAGCTCTGCAGGAGAATCCAGCTCTGGAGGAGAAACAGCTGAACCTGGGCCAGCGACCCTCATCTGGATATGATGTGTTTGATGTGTCAGCTGTTCTGGCTGTGAAGCCTCTGGAGGTGTTGGGCTTTCAGCTGCGTTACACAGACGACAGTGGGAGTCTGGTCCTTCATGAAGCCCTAACACAGAGTCTGTACTGCGTGAACAGAGGCTTTCTGAGTGAACCCTTACTGGTGCTTTACCAAGCACACCCTCTCCACATCTAACTCTGTGACCAGGACTACTGTACAGTGTTAAATTGATAGATTTTTTTCATAATCTGTCTAATCTATTCAGTTTTAGTCCACATCAAATACATGGATATTGTGGAGTATGCTGCAATACAAAATGAGTAAGGATCTGCGGGTGCAGTGAATACTGGTAACACTGAACTGCTGTAACTTTCAGACAAACAAGCATTAACAAAACTAAATCCACTGAAAACATTGTTCAGAAAATATTGCCTTTTCATTTGCATTTTGGAGAATCAGTGGTATGGTATTAATTATACCATATTATTATGGTGATTATTATTTTGAAAAACAAAACATATTTTAGTTATCATCCTTTATTATGAAAGTTTTCACTGGAAGTGTTGGTGCTTTAATGTCTAACTTGACTGTGGCAGCTCCATCATTGTGATGGTTATTATGCCAGTATTACAATCATGCACTGCAGTCCAGTGGCCACAGTGAGCATTTACAACACCAAACTAACATTTGTGACCAAACAATGTAAGCAAAGAGGAATTTTGACTGGGGAATATTTGTACATGAAATTTACTTTATTTAATATGTTAATGTTTATGTAAGAACTTTTGTTCACCTCCTTGTACATGTGATGGATTGATCAAAAGAAAATTCACTGACAAATTATCACTCACAGGCTGCAATACTGTACCTATATAAAACAGGGCGAGAAAATGTAGATGATATGTCTGAGCATAACTCTTTCTTTTAAAATGGCAGTTTATCAAAACTTTATTAGCTGAGCAGGGTTATGATGTAGCAGTTTGAGCGTATGATCCTGATATTTATGACACCATAGCAGCAACCCTAATTATTAATTTTTTGCTTATTATTATCAGGGCAGTAACTACCACTGGAAAAACTGGGATTATGTGAGGGGCTAGCTCTAAAATTTGAGGGTTTAATAATTAACATTATGTATTACAAAACAAGTTTTAATGCTGATTATAATAGATTACTGGACAGTTTCAAGGCAAAACAAACAAAAAACAAATTACAAACCTGGCACCAGACCATTATGTAAAAATATGCAGAAAATATAATTAAACTGTTGAATTCTTTTAAAAAAATACTCAAATATATGTTGGCAGCTTGTGATTATTACAAATGTTGTTATTATTACAAAATAGCATAAAGTAGCAGTAATGTTAGGCCTATTGTTAATATCGACGTCATAAGACCCAGGAAGTGCCCCATCCTTCCTCTAAACTGATTGGCTACGGTTTCTGCCTTTCAAAGCAGCGGCATCGCCTCTTGTAGGGTCATTTTTTCTGCGGTGTAAACGTTCATTTATACTATTAATACAGCGGCTTTGAGCACTAGTTATACTCCCGAGGCATGCCCCTGATGGGGACTGGAAGCGGCCTTGTGAACATCTAAAGCGGACACAGTGAAATGCATCCCCGGGACGCTGAACCTGCTCCATCGCTCACACAAAGCCCGTGACGCAGGCCGTGTTTTTTTCCTCAGACAGCGCTGTGGTGATGTCAAACATGTCGGGGAATCATTATAAAGGCCAGGAAGTCAGCTGCTGCATTAAATACTTCATTTTTGGATTTAACATCTTGTTTTGGGTAAGAGGTTTTTATTTTTTTAATTATAGGCATCTGCGCCTCTCTCCAGTACAGTTCCATTATTACAGTGGCCAGTGGGGAGGAAGGCCCGCATCATCATCACAGCTTATCGTTCACGTTCATACTCGCACAGATATTAATCTCTTATTGCGGTGAATATTCGTCCAGTAATGTCGGAATGAAACACTGAGCTAACAGTCTTTTTTAAGCGACCCAATGACAGCTCAGGCTCCAGGCTTATCATTCAGCTGACATTCATATCCCATAGGCTGCAGTGACAGCGGGCTTTTAACTTGCATTTGTTGTAATATTTAATGGCCAAGAAATAGTTGAAATGTGTGGCGGTGCTGTTGACAGCCTGTGTAGATCAAATACACTTTGAAACCACTATTACATGTTCAAATAAAGAAAGCTAAATGTAAATTGACTGTATCATAAGAATATGCAGTATAAAATGTCAGAAGCTAGTGAGAAATGTCCATTGCATCTTCTCATTAAACGGTGACAAACTAGACACCACCTAAATCCTGACTGTTGAGTGTGGATGCAAGTGGTTAAAGATAATGAACTGCTAAATATATAAACATATGGCTGCATTCAATATTCACAATGTATTTCTATCTTGTAATAGCTGGTGTTTCACTATTACATTATGTAACAATAATTTGGTCTTTTTATCTGCCTAGCTAAATCAGTAGATTCTAGGTTCTTGTCTGTAGAGCAATGGGGTGAGATGACAATACTTAGTGCTGAACAAAAAAAAAATAGACTTCAAAAACAGGAGCCTAAAATTTCTGACTTCTTCATTCAGGGTGGAACATGTCCATTAGGCCGTCTGGGCAGGCATCACGTTTGCTGATAGAGTCATCTTTGACTTGGGTTTATCACCACACCGTCTTGCCCTATTGCCTGTTCTGTTCTTTGTCATTCATTGTTTGACTTGGTGAAGACCATTCATTTGAATTATTTGCATGCTTTAATAAATTCAGAGAAGACAACTGAGCTCCTTGTTCTTTTCTCACCCACTTCTACTAGTTTTGCTGCTACACTGAGAAACTGGAACCAGCAGATTCGTTGGCATCTTTACTTGAAAATCAGGACTTAAATCAAATTCTGAAGTTAATTAATATATTTTCCAAATGAACAAGACAAGGCATGCAACTAATAATTTATACTGTTGGTTTATCATATATGAAATAATACTTACTGTATATGTTGGTGAAAGGATGAATGTGCACATAATGTGATACAAAGATGGGGAGGGCATTAAAAAAAATGCATAAAAAGTTACTTGGCAATTGCAGCTATTAATCCTGTTTTAGTCAAACAGCAGAAGATATAGTTTGTGAAGTGGATTCAAGTGACAGATTTGCACATATAAATATCACTTAAACCATAATTTGACATTTAAAAAAATTGTGACAGTATAGTAAGGAACTACTGTATGTGCCACACTGACTTACCATATATACAGTATAATATTGAGACAAATATATGCAGCTGTGGAAAAAGAGAAGGGCAGAGAGGAAGCAGGTAAACTGATCCCACATTTGATAAACAATGAAAAATGCCCATTACAATATCCTAGATCCGATTGTAATATCACCAGATGTCATTCCAAAAATCAAAACTATTTTATCTGTTAGAATGTAATACAGGTGTTAAGTCTAGGGTATGCGATGGACTCAAAAATCGGGCCAGTCAGTAGTTCTCATATAACTTTAATATACAGGATATTGAACAAAAAAACCAGGTGGGGGGTGAGGTGACACAAAACAGAAAGCAAGTCCAAAACCCTAACAACAGGACTCCCTACAACCTGGAGCAATTCGTTCGAAAACACAAAGGTTTTTGGCTTTTTGAATGTGACAGATTCAGAAGACATGTTTCTGTATTGTTACTTAATACCAATGTAACAGACTGACATTGTGTAATTTTGCATCAACACAGCTTCACAGTAATATGACATGACTGTGGTATTTTTGCAGCTGCTGGGCATGGCCTTAGTTGGAATTGGACTTTGGGCATGGAGTGAGAAGGTGAGCACTGACACACAAGTTATTAGATGATAGATATAGGTTCATTGTATAAGTTTTTACGACAACATTTATCAGTTAAATCTATTGAAATTTCCAAATTGCTTTTTGAACTAAAAGGATTTTTCTTAGAGGCCAACTGACACTAAAATCTCTCAAGTAGCATACTGAATTTTTCATTGAAATTAAAGCTGCACTAATGAATATTTTATATTAACAATTGGCCATGTTTTAAAGGTGTTTCTTGTAATCATGAACATAGTAATCAGCCTGTCTTTAGCTCATCTCTACTGAGCTTTTTAAGTCTCTTTTAGCTTGTTGTTTTGGTTGTACAACCCACAAAAGTCTGCTTTCATTAACTTTAAGTAGCAACTTTAAGTTTAAGCAGGCAGCTGTTTTCAGATGACAAGCTATGATAACCCCACTGAAAAAACTGCATATAGACAAAGCTAACAGGTACTCTAGCTAACATACATTGTGTAGCATCTGCAGCTGAGCATGTAAACAGTACAGGTGAAATTACATGAAGTAATCCCTGATTGTAAACCCCTATCAGCTGTTAAGGCTTACCTCACATCCAGTATTCTGTGAGGAAGAAACATGTCACCCAGTGCAGCGGTGTGGCTCTCTGGGGTGTTTTTAATAGTTTTTTGATAATAATGAAGGTCTACCTCACAGAGGAATAGGCTAAATCAGGTTCTGGTTTCACAAACATAATGATGAGAACACAAAAATTGTGGGTTTTAGTCCCTGTATAGGATTTGTTGAAATAGTGCTTTACACTATTTCCCATTTCACCCATACAAACGTTCTCCATGACCAATTATAGATAAAGCATCTTGCTCAAGGAAACTTTGACAGGTGGACTGGAAAGGCCATGGAGCAACCCACCCTACCTCCTGAGTCACAGTGAACCTAGTTTAAGAAAAGTTTTAAACAAGGTTCAAACCTTCAAACCTAATGTATTGTATACAGCTGCAAGAAAAGGTAATGGATCTGTTTGCAATTTCCTGGTTTTCTACAAAAATTGGTCATGAAATGTGATCTGATCTTCACCAAAGTTACAAATATCAAAAAACACAATGTTTCTAAGCTGATAGAACACAGAGAGTCATGACCTTTCATGTCTTTATTGAACACACCCATTAAACATACAGAGTGATGGTAGAAAAAGTAATAGCAACACCAGGCCTCTGATGTTACTAAACATCAGCTGGAGTCAGGCATAAGCAGACTTGGAGTCCAGTCAATGAAAAGAAAATGAAGTTGTGGTTTGGAACTACCTTGACTTATAAAAACACCCAGACAGTGTCAGTGTGTTATTCACAAGCAGCATCAGTTGGTGTGAGCCAGGCCTCACAAAAAAGAAATCTCATAAGATCTACGATTGAGAGTTGTTGATTTGTATGTATCTGGAAAGGGTTACAGAGTCATCACGAAGACTTTAGATACGCATCAGGCCACAGTGTGACATAGTGTCTATAACAGCAGACGATTTGGTGGCTACTCTCCATAGAAGTGGGCGCCCAGCCAAGATCACGCAGAATGCTCAGTGAAGTAATACAGAACCCTAAAGTAACAGGACACCACAGAGGAAGCCACCGCTCTCCAAAAACAACACTGCAGCAGACCTGATGTTTGCCAAAGACCACCTGGACACTCCACAGCACTACTGGAAAAATGTCCTGTGGACAGATGAAATGAAAGTGGAATTGTTCAGGAAGAACATACAGCACTACATATGGTGTGAAAAGAGAACTGTGTACCAACATGAAAACATCATCCCAACAGTGAAGTATGGCGGAGAAAGGATCATGATGAGGGGCAGCTTTGCTGCCTCTGGACCTGGACCGCTTGCTGTTGTGGAGGGAAGATGAATTCCCAAGTTTATCCAGGTATCCTACAGGATAATGTCAGGGTGGCTGTCAGCAAGATGAAGCTCAGAACAGGCTGGATGATGCAGCAGGATAATGGAGGTAAATCTCTACAGAATGTCTTTAGAGACACAAAATCCACCTTTTGGAGCGGCCCAGTCAGAGCCCAGACGTCAAACCAGTAGAGATGCTGTGGAATGATCTCACAACATTCACATCAGATATCCTAAGAACATGGCTGAATTGAAGTAGTTCTGTGGGAAGAATGGTCCAAAATTCCTCCTGAACATTGTGCAGGTCTAATCCAAAGATACAGGAAGTGCTTGCTTGAGGTTATTGAAGCCAAAGCTGGTTCAACCAGTTATTAAAAGACTGTTGCCATGACTTTTTCCCACCATCACTTTGTTTGTTTAATGGGTGTGTTCAGTAAAGACATGAAAGATCAGGACTGTTTGTTTATTTGTTTTAATATTGTTTGTTGATATTTCTGCCTTTGGTGAAGATCAGATCACATTTCATGACCAATTTATGCAGAAAACTAGGAAATTGCAAACAGATCCATTACTTTTTCTTGTGACTGTATTTACCAAATAGTAATTACTTGAATTCATCATGAAACACAATGTGTTAAGAACTCTTTGAATCAAAGCATCTCTTTTTATCATTGCATATACTCCCAGATGTCTAGTGAAGTGTCTGAATATAAAATGTCTGAAAGTGTAATGTATCAAAGTGCACCATAACAAAGGACAACCTTTTTTGTTATTTTCCCCCTGACTTAATTCTAGTTCTATCCTGTTTTGTCACTGTGTCCTTTTTGGCAAACGTGTTCTGTCCTGAAAGATATTTACCTGCCTGGCTCAGTCTTGGCGTATTGTTGTGCTTTGTTTCTCCCATCCAGGGGGTTCTGTCCAACATCTCATCCATCACAGACCTGGGGGGTCTGGACCCAGTCTGGCTTTTCATGGTTGTTGGGGGGGTCATGTTCATTCTGGGCTTTGCCGGTTGTATTGGAGCACTGAGGGAAAACACATTTCTGCTTAAGTTTGTATGTTCCATAATAATTAAGCACTCTAATTTGCATGCAGAAAAGATTGATTCAAAAATCTAACCATCTGCAAATGGTCAAAGCATGAATTCACCAATTTTCTCTTTTTCATGTCTTTCCTGTTGTAGTTTTCTGTGTTTCTGGGAATAATCTTTTTCTTGGAGTTAACAACGGGAGTTCTGGCATTTGTCTTTAAAGACTGGATTAAAGACCAGCTCAATCTGTTCATCAATAATAACATTCGCGCATACCGAGATGACATCGATCTACAGAACCTCATTGATTTCACTCAAGAATATGTAAGTTGACAAAACAACAGGGAACTGCTTGGAAACATGTTCGTTTATGGTTGATAACAAAAGTGTATTGTTGGACTTTGAAATAATAGTTTGGCATAATACTGCATATACCTGTAAATGCAAAATCCACTTACTAGATTTTAAACATCTCAATACCTATCTCAGAAGGGAACCTTTTAATTAAGATTATGTCAAATGTTCATTTATAGTTCAAGTACAGTACAGCCTACTGTAACGCTGTGGTTAAGTTGGCTGTTTTATAGGGAAATTTTATAAACCGTAAAACTAGAATTAAAAATATATGTATAATTATTTTAGGATTTGAAAAAGCACTCTTATCAAATCCTAATATATGGTAAGCATGTTTATAAAATATACTGTACTTGTCATTTTAGAGAGGATATACTTTCTTGTGTTATTACTGAATTAATTTCAGTCCATTTACAAGTGAGAAGGTCGAAAATGTTGGGCTTTTAGGTTGGCTGTGAAACACTGATGTGCAGGTATCAGTAAGTCCAACTCAGAGAATAAACAAGAACAAGTAGCATTGACAAGCTAATTTAAAATGACCACAACCTACAAACATGCAGTAAAATGCCCGAAGACTTGACAGGTTCCCAAACAGCTAGCTGCTGTTTTGTTAGCTTCTGTTAGCCAGCTAGCTTCTCTCATTGAGAGTTTTTCATTATGTCTTAAGAAATAAAATGTTTTTGCTTATTATTATTTGAAGATAAGTCAATACTTGCTACGGCATTTTCTACTAGAATTTAAAAATGTATGATTTTACCAGTCTCAAACATTAGCAAGTTAGCAAGTTTTTCCAGTATGACAGCATGTACAGATTTTTGTGTCATCATCTCTTCCTTCCTTGTCCTTCTCTCTGTATTTTATGCTCCTAGGATAGTCCATGAAGAAAACTACATTGTATCACAATTTTGGTTATTTTTTTATGATTTCTTTTACTTATGACAGCAATTTACTCACCCAGTAATTGTTGAGATTTGGGAACATGGCAACATTATTAAAATAAAGCAGAAAACAAGCACAGATGATCAGACTGTTTGTAATGGAGTTAAAAATGTAACCAAGATTTGTCACCACTTTGGTAAGACATCAAACTGACAGTGAGCACGCCCATAATGTTGCTAATAATCCCTTATTGGGTAGGAAAATTGTGAGAGCAGGTGGATATTGAACCAGTAGGTTTTTATCATTTTCATTGTTTGCCTTCCAAATAAGTGTAGCTAACCTTCTTGTTTGCAACCTGTCTTAACTGTCTGATTTCTTACTCATAGGTGTAGAGATATGTTTGTAGAGTTACAGCTACATCAAATAACAATGAATGATGCACAGTAAAGATGTTTTTTACAAAGCATGTGCTTGGCTGTGACCAGGGTAATTAGAGGTAGAGATCAACTCTGTTAGGACAACAACAGCAGCTCCTCCAATATAGGTGAGGTAAACCTACTGTGTGGAGACTTAGCACCTTGGACTTGCGTAATTCAGGTCACCAGTTCACTAAGTCATACAGTGTATCTACAACTGCCATATGGTCTTTCTCATTTCTGTGTACAAAAAAAAAGAGTTTTGAATTCCATCAATAGAATGATTCAACAATATAATTGCAACAATTTCTTTCCTTTTTGCCTGCCTTTAGTGGGAGTGCTGTGGTGCATTTGGAGCAGATGATTGGAACCTGAACATCTATTTTAACTGTACTGATGGGAATCCCAGTCGGGAAAAGTGTGGCGTTCCTTTTTCCTGCTGCACTAAGGACCCAGCGGTAGGAGTTCCCAGCAGTCCATACATGGCTACATTGTCAGAATCCTACATGTTCTACTGCCAGAAATTAACAGTGGCTAGAATAAATTTAAAACACAGCGAAAACCGAAGTACTTTTCAAGAGCCATGGCTCAGAATCAGAGTTGGGAGACTTCTGGATTTTAGGCAAATTAACTTTAACCTGGCTCATAGGTGGTAACTAGCTTTTAACAGTCCAGGCCAACTTTGCTATGGAGAGTTGAGACACCGATGCCTCTGCGTCCACGATAGCCGTGGCTGGAGGCATTACGTTTTCAGGCTGTCCATATGGCCCAATCTTGTGAATGCAATATCTCAGGAATGTCTTGAGGGAATTTCTTCAAATTTGGCACAAGTGTCCATTTGGGCTCACGGATTAACTGATTACATTTTGGTGGTCAGAGGTCAAAGGTCACTATCAGCTTGTGTCCGTCCCATTCTTGTGCATGTGATCTCAGAAACACTTTGAGGCAATTTCTTCAATTTTGGTGCAAACGTTCTGTTATGCATTTACAAACATCTGATATTCAGGTCGGGATTTAAGGCTTGTGTCCTAAGTAATATTGTATTTGATTACAAAAATGTGTGCAACCTGAGGCAGTTCTGAGTTTAGTGAAGTTACTGTAGGAGAGACCAAAAAGCTGGTAAAAAAGTTATCAATTCCTAAAGGTACTCTGTTACTAAACATTAAACTCAATTTTATTTGTGCAGCCCCAGTTCACAACAAAAATCACCTAAGGGCCCCTTACATAATAAGGTCTAGACCTTTCAGTATTATAATGCTTAACTAACCACTAGGTCTGAGCCTAACTATACCCACTGCATAATTTTTACAAACACCAATACAGCTGGCGTGGGTCTGAGAGAGGGGTGGGGTGTGGAGTACAAGAAGGGAGTTGGTCAGTGTGACATCCCCTGGCTAGACAAAATGGAGTGTGACAGAATCACAGGGTATGTATGCCACAGAGGGCTCTTTGGAAGTGGAGGACTTTCCCCTCCTGTTTCACAATTCTAATTGATCTACATTCAATTATTTTTTTTAAAAATAGTCTTGTTTATGTATGTTAAATGTGCAATCTTATTAGTCAACCAAATGGGTGCACATATGATTTATCTGGAGACTTCACAGTAATGCAACAACAGCACGCTTGGTTAGCTAACAAGGTAGTCTAACTTTAGCAGCGCAAGCTAACCTTGTGGAGCTGTTGCTTTCTGTATATCAAGAATCATAATCAATACTAATCTATTTTAATCTAATTCCTCTATTATATTCAATTCACACACTTCCAGATCATGACTCAGTCTGCATCAGTGGGAGATGTTAACTGTATAGAAGGAGGTGAGGGAGCAGGTGAGGATGGATGGGGATAGGGGTGAGTAAGTTTTCACCGTATATGTCAACTGCTACCAAAACAGGCAATAGCAAAATTCTATAACAGTAACTGGGCTTCAGCCAGTACATGGCTGTCATTTTGCATATTTACAGTATAACACCATATTCAATTCAATTCAATTAAAATTTAATTTGTATAACACTAAATCACAACAAAAGTTCACAGGACACTTTACAAAATAAGGTCTAGGCATAATAATAATAATAATAATAATAATAATAAACCCAACAAATCCCCCTTGAGCAAGCACTTGGCAACAGTGGTGTCAGGAACTGGCGCGTGAAGCTGCTGATAATATCAAGAGTGAACTCAATTATACAGCCGGACGAGGACAATTGAAAAACTGTCTCTTTAATAAAGAGCGCGGACAGCAAAACCATATTGAAAATTACGTGAACACGAAACACACTCAGGTCAAAAATGCAGTCCAGGATCAGAGCCAGCAAACTTACACAGCTGAGGAATCCACAAACGAGAGGTCAGAGAGGGAAGTCCGATAATCCATACACAGAAAGCAGTCCAAATCAGGAGGGCAAGGCAGAATACAATGGTCAAAATACAGTCCGGGGTAAAAACAGGAAATACAGGCACAAGGAAAAACGCTGGAAAGTTTGACATGGGTTAGAGAACAATCTGGCAGCTTTCCAGAGGGTGAGAAGCTGCTATACTGTTGTGAGCAGGTGTGGTAATCAGAAGCAGGTGAAACCAATTTGGATAATGAGCTAAAGTTCTCGGGAGTCAGGGTGAGCTGGGGACAGGAAGCAGTATCAAAATAAAAGCATGACAGGAAACAGGCGGGACAGAATCATGACAAGTGGGGAGGAAAAACTCTGTTTGATGGAAGAAACCTCCTCTTGGTGGGCGGCCTTCTGCCTCAACCGGTTGGGGTGAGTGGATAGAGGAGAGAGAAGAGAAGAAAAGCAACAAGACACAACAAACAATTGAACACTGGACAGGTTGTTGTGGCCGGTGACTGCTCATCAGAATCGTAGAGCTCCAGAGCCAGGGCTACCTGCAGAAATGTAGAGGGAGAGAGAGAGGACACACTGGGGGAGAGAGGAGACACACAGTTAGTGATGTGTAATGGTGGCATATAGAAGGAGAGGAGGGGAGCCAATCCCAGCTGACATCAATATGTTAACATTTAGCTCAAAGTACTAAGTGACTAAGTACACCCTCACAGAGCTGCTAGCCCACAAAATGTGCCACTTTTTTAAGGCTCTTCACTCACCGCTTTAAAATAGGCTAGATAATATAAAGTTTATTCTCTTTGTCTCTAGGAGGATGTGATCAATACGCAGTGTGGATACGACGTTCGAGCTAAACCGGTAAGTATTGTAAAAATGCTATTTTAAGTGCATCAGATTTAATTTCTTCCATTTTGATGCTTCCCAAAATGACACATTTTTTATGACTTTACTGTTAGTAATCGCACCAACAGGGATTTTGAAGGCAGGTCAAAAGTGGAGTAAAGCCGCTACAGTAATAGCCAATGCTTATGTTAAAGGTAACAAGTGAAACCCAAAATCAGTGATCAATTTGTCATCTAGAAATTAAGAAAATCTCTGATGTTACAGATATGATGCATTTTATTACATAATCACTGTGATTCAAGAATTGGTCTTGTTGCCTTTGGGAAGACAAATCATATGTATTCCAATACTACAGTATTTATCTGAGGTTTGCCAGATTGTTTTTTGAAATCTGTAGTATGATGACAGGTGGTTATGTTCACACAGGACTCGGAGCAGAAGGACTACATCAATGTGAAAGGGTGTGTGCCGCAGTTTGAGAAGTGGCTACAGGACAACCTCACTTTGGTGGCTGGGATCTTCATAGGAGTTGCACTGCTGCAGGCTAGTTTTGTGCATGTGTTTAACCTTCATGGTGCTCCAGAGAAACCTAAAATAAAAGCATCATTCTAGTTTTTTTTTCTTTTTTAAAAATGTGTAATGTTGCCTTTGTATGTTTTTTTTTCTTTTATTTACAGATTTTTGGGATTTGTTTGGCTCAGAACCTAGTGAGTGACATTGAGGCTGTGCAGGCAAGCTGGTGAGAAAATGATCTCTACTTTTATCTCTTTAGTTCTGTTTCTCATGTACACTCATACATTTGCATGCTTTCAAACACACTTCCCTTTAGAGTTGCATGATAAATCGTTTTCAGACACAATTTTAGATCCTTATGCAATCTCAGTCTCATGTGACATTGATTCTGCCGTATTTGCATTAGCAGGGAGACACCTTGCATCAAACCAAGTGCTCTCTTTTCCTCGCTAAGCTGCGTTAACCAATAACAGGAATGTGTTACATCACGTGATGAGCTGTAGACAGGAAGAGAACACAGATTTCAAAAAAAATATCCGACATGTTTGACATTGTGCCCTCCTGCAACTATTTTTAAAATGTTGCGCTGCCTGCCCTGTACACCTGGTGCTGAAATGCAGTTGAGGCAGAAACAAATCACTTTGCAGTTATTAGTTGCGGTTACTGGTTAATGCAGTTTAGAGAGGAAAAGGGAGAGCTTAGTGTGATGCAAGGGATCTCAATGCTAATGCAAACATGGCAGAATCATTGTCACATGAGACTGAGATCCTATACGAATCTAAATTGCGCTCAAAAAACGATTAATGTGCAGCCCTAGTTCCCTTGATTTGCACCCTCCATTTTTACTGTTTCACAACATGAGGCACTTCAGCTCTTTGTCATAGTATAAATACTAGATGCGTCTCTAAGGCACACATATGTATTATAAAGTCTCAAGGGCACAGATTTAAAAGATACACAAGTTTAGTTTGAATTAAACAAGTCAAACTAACACTGAACATGTACTGTAAAGTATTTTTGGTATTACTTGGGACTTCTCTATTCCAAACTTGCAATTTCTTTAAAACGGTGCTACAAAACATCATTATGGGTGAAATAACATCTAAACTGATTCCACATTTTAAGAGAGTGCAGAACAGAAACAGGGGATTTGATGTATTACTAGATAACGATCATGTAAATTTTCTGAAACTATCAATTAGATAGAAAACAAGCAATAACATCTGGAAGAATATTTTGGGTCTCATTAAACATATCTTCCTGCAGAAGAATCATGGATAAATACCTGAAATTAAAGAGAAAAAAAAACAAACATTATTTCATTAAACATCTTTTTCTTCACTACAGAAAAGACATTTGGATTGAGCAGTTACTGAAGGGGAACAAAGGGAAGAGGGTTACTAAGCTTTACCATCCCAATGTCAAAACTCACTTCACACCTCATTCTTCCCTCTCCATGCTTCACCAGGGTGTCCCCCCCTCTTTCCATCCATCGACTCCCACCACATTCCAGCAAGAAAGCATCAGCTTACTACTCATGAGACACGCAGACGCTGTATGTGTATAGCTGGTGGGTGGGATGGATCCATGTGGTCATACAGACAGATGACAAATGAAAGGAAAAACCAACAAAGTGCTGAGCCAGAGCAGCTTCAGATTGACACAGATTCTCCAAGTCTCTGAACTCTACTGGAGGGGTGAACACCAGTCTTCCAACAGATATTCCCTCATGTGGTGGTTTGATGATGGTAGTGGAGATGCTGGCTAACACGTCGCTCCAACATCTCCCATAGGCGTTTAACTGGGCTGAGATCTGGTGACTGTGAAGGCCACAGGATATAATTCACATCATTTTCATACTCATCAAACCATTCAGTCACCCCTGGTGTCCTATGGATGGGAGCGCTGTCATCCTGGAAGAGGTTTTTCCTTTAATATGTCACCTGTCTATAAGTTTTGTCTTGAGCATTGCTGTGACTGGGTGAATGGTCTCTGTTTTGTGGTGTCCCATTTAAGGCCCAAATTTGGAAGTTTGGAGCTGTAGTCATTGCATGGAGGCAAAAATGTATCCATATTGGGAAGATGTATCTAAAATAATGCATCAAACACAATATAAAATATATATAAACATAGAAAATTTGGCAAATACTGCCTTCTTTGATCCCCATATTTTAAAATTTATTAAAATGTTAATTTTATTTTTTCTTAATTTTAATTCATATTAAGACCAGACAAGAAAAAAAAACCTTTGCTTCATGAAGAAATACACACACGCTTCCATGCAATTTGCCTTTATAAATCACAATCAACTTGAGAATGTGCGCACCTTAGTGAGCTGCATATTCTGCCCAAAGGTTACCAGAATTCTATTAAAATACATTGTTCAAAGCAAGCAGCTCAGAGACCACCAGAAAAGTCATTTTCACTGTGACTGCATGTCAGTGATTTTCCTCCATGTTCCCCTGCTGAGCTGTAGCTGGGTGGTTTGCATTAATGAGGCTTGGAGTCATGTGATTTAGACAATCCTTTCTTTCTTTGTGGCCTTTTATTCCCGTGGTCACTGTGACTTCATCCAGCTGAAGACATTTTTCTCTTCCTCTACTTTCTTAGCATTCCCAAACTAACCCTAAACTCTGTTTTCTAGTTTCCTTTTTTCTCCCTTAATTGTTATTTTAAATTGTCTGAACCACTGGAGTGCAGGAGCCTTATTAATAAGTAGTTTGTTGTTGTTTTTAACTTGATTTGGCTTTTTAAATAATTCAGCTGTTGATCCCCTGTTTTCCAGCTTCTTTACCTAATCCTGAAACAGCATTTCAACTCTTAACAGGTGAGCTTTTCTTCTATTAAACTACATGTTCATAAATTAAATGCAGTGTTTAACAAGATCACATAAAACTGAAAATATTATTCATTAGATGTCTAATTCTTTTGTCAGCCTTTGAACAGATCTCCTTGAACACAACATCAGGGAGCATTCAGAGGATGTCACGGATCCCTTGCACCATCGTGCTCACTGAACCAGCACCTTTTTTCAAGGCACTAATGCATGGGGAAAATGTTCTGTATATACCACTCTGTGTAACTATGGTAAAAAGATAACTGTTGGAGAGGATGGTTAAACTTGCACTACATTCAGATTGTCGCAGTGCGCCAGTTTTGATAGCAATGTGTAGAGAGTATGAGTTTTGATATACCTTTTTGATATTAGATCAGTATTTTTCAATGTGGAAAATAATGTTCCATTGCTAAATCCATCATACAGGACTGTGAAATATTGTATAAAAGAAATGGAGGTGTACTTTTTTTGGAGTTCAGTGTTTGCATTGCCTCTCACTATTTGTCCAGGACCCTGGCACAAGAGGGCCAAAAGTCGCAATAGTTAGCAAGTAATGACGCATTCGCCAGTTTTGGACTGACAGCTGAAAGCTCAGTTTTCCCATGACTGAAGGAGACAGGATTTCACTATGTAGCTCCAGTGTGCAATGACCTTTGAGCACCATGTTGTTTTGGGACTGGAGATGCTCTTTGTTTTGGTACTAATCAAAATGCATCTGTCACACAGTAAAAAAACAAAAACAAAAAACAGAAAAAAAAAACTGTCAATTTAACTGAGGTTAAATGTTGGGTCAGATGACGCTCGATTTAAAGACTTGTTCCACTTTTAGACCATCCATATTAAAGCAAAGTTCCTTTACACTTGCTTGTGCTTACACAATATTTAACATGTTAAAACTTGAATAAATTTGGATTTGGATCACATGTTGTAATCTTACTTTTTAGGCTAATCATTCCTCTTCTCCATTTTGGCCGTGACGTGATCCCTGCACAGTGTGGCTAGCCTTTAAAAAGATGAAGCAAATCTTCACTTGTGCCACACAAAATACATTCCAAGGTTAATCTGAATCCCATACGGGGCTTTAACTCTTAGATGAATCAAGCAGTTATGCGGGTATTTTGTCCTGCCAGTAATTGTACATACTGTATAACTGGAACCATTGTTGTAGTGCTCAAGTCCAGGACTTGGACTTGAGCACTGATGACACAGACATGAGCATTGACTGCATTTGGACTCAGAAGTTGGATAAGAGGATGTGATTTTTTTGTCTTTGTCTCTGTCTCAGGCTTTAAAAATTTGGCATAAGATACTGATATTAAAACCTGTTCATTCGCACTATGCTGTATCCGCACTATCCACTTCTATCAAGCGTTTTTCTATAAATGATTATATATGAAATTGCCAAACAATATCATGATGCAATACACAAGTGGTTCCGTTAACCAAATATTTTCTGTGTATAAAATTACTGTTCATATTTTCTTTCTAGATAAGTTTTCATGAATTTGAAAGTGGATATCCCTGAGTGTTAAGGGTTTTTCTAGAATGTTTTAAACCCTTTCAGAACATTGAGTGGTGTAAAAACAGAGAAAATGTCAATCTGTATTATAATGTCTCCCTTAACTGTTGAATCAGAAGTTTAATTTCAGTGTTGTATGGCTTCACTGAGTTCAGCAGTAGCTCTCAAACCATCTCTTTCATGCCAGTGGCATTTTTCCGCTTCAGGCAGACCTAAAATTTATTAGCCCTGTTCCACAGTGTCATCTAACATTACCGTTGGAGGAGACGGTCCTGGAAGATCCTACAGAAAACCTCTGATAAACAGCTGTGCATTGCTGATGTTCTTTAACAACTAACATTAGCTACAGCCTACCTGTAGCTAACATGAGCACTTGCTGCAGCAGACCTCTGCCACACCAGCATAACATTGGTTAAAAGTGAGCTTTAACGTAGCTCAGTTCTGTGAGTAAAGACACCAGTAGAAACACACAGCAGATTGAGAGCTCAAGCTGAACTCGGGAAGCCACTGCAGTAACCACACAGCCATGCTCGGCAGATAGAAGCCTCGGTGTGAACAGTGGCTTGAGAAGAGGGCTGTCCTCTCCTCATGGATCTCAACCAGAGTATGCAAATCACACTCTCCTATGTTCAAATTATCATTTTGTGCAACAAACAGTCATAAAACAAACAATCAGTCGACAATTTAGGGATCCAAATTTTAAGCAGTTTCTTAATCGATAGTTAGCCACGTTAATAATCAATTATTGGTTAATGATGAACTATTTATGATATATTTATTCATAATAAAACAGTCCTACCCACTAATGTGATCTGTATTTGCCATAAAATCTAACATCAGAATTTAAAGATGAAATAAAAGCTAAGTTACTTGAGATATGAATGAAACAGCACTAAACAATTATTTTGTTTAAAATTGCTTGGCTTCCAAGCAATTTTAAACAAAGCCAGTCCTGGTTTTTTATAATATGCACATGACCAGAGTGGCCTGTTAAGTGTAGAGAAACTTTTGAGCACAACTTCACCCCCTGCCCAGGTGCATAGATGTGGAAACATGACCCGAAAAGGTCAAAACTCCAGCAATATGCCTTTCGGCCTGTGGCCTTCGTCAGGGTCTGTTAAAAGCTCATAACAAAGAGTCTTTTAATCAGTATGGATGTAGAACAAAACTGTGACAAAATTAACAGACCCCAACAAAGGCCACAAGCCAGAACACGTTGGTCTTACAATAAAGTTGTTCTCTACACTGCAGGTGTTGCTAGAGTTTTGACCTTTTCTGTTGTTTACCGTAGCCAGTAGAGCTGCTCAGCTAGTGGCCACACAGATGTCCCAGCACTGTATAAATACTGTCACCAACTTCATCAGTCCAGGAAATCTTTCAGCAATTACTGTCACCGGTAAAGAGCATCTGTATTCCGAGCAGGGCGGCGTCAAAGGCTGGGGCTATTTAACCCTATGCACTATGCCTATTCAGCTTGTGACTCTCATATATTACATACACTGGAGCCTAGGCCTACATGAGAGGCACAAGCTGGGGCTAAGGATAGAATAGTAGAAAAATGGGTGATGTTTTGTAGGAAATGCACTGTGGCCTGCTCTGTAAAACTGCTGGAACAAGAGAGGTACAATGTCGGGCTGCCCGGAATAAAGACTGAGGAGAGAGCAGGGGAACCTCGGCCAAGAAGCAGTAAGTGACGTCCACACAACACTTCGCCTATGAGCAAGTGAGTGATGTCCACATTAACGCTGCACTATCACCACTGCAGAAAGGGCGGTGGAACATCACAGTGGTAAGTGGAGTTTCCACCACATCTTCCCAATAAGCACCCACCGTCCACAATATGCCACACCACCTTTTCTGCTACATACTCAATATATCTGCACTACATACCTATGCTGTCATTTGCTTGTTGTCAGAAAAATATACACTGAAGTCAATGGAACCACACAATTAAAGACAAATTAGCTGGTGCAAAATGATACAAACACAGAGATGCTGTAGGAATAAAGACATCACCCACCACCAGCTATAATCTTTTAATTATCTGCTAAGTTACAATCATCCAAATGTACAACTTATGACATTTACAACAAACACTTAAGTTTATAGTATTTACGCAGTTACTATGGATACATCTCCACTGGCGAGTGTCTTTCTGAAGAGCACAGATTTGATAAATAACCATTCATACCTTTAAAAATAAAAAATAAAAATAGCGTGGGGCCAGACCAGTAAACACACCGAGGCATGCTAACAGGGTGTCGGCACAGCATCGGACACGTCACCAGAAATCCCTGCTGGGGCATATTGTGTGTTGATCAGGGAGTGAACCTTGATGCAGGACTGTAGTACTTCAGTCTACATTTCTAACTTTACCCTCTTGTGCCAACTCTGACTTGAACGTCTCTTTCCTCTTCCCTATTTTCTGCTCATCTAAAAATATTTTAATATGATCTTCTATTGATATTTTCTTGGTTTCTGTGCACAGCACTAAAAACAAAATTTTACCTGTAGAAATTTGGCTATGCAGTGTGTCAAATATTGATCAGGCAATAACTTTATTGTAATAAATTTATGACGTTTGTGTAGAGAGCAATGCCAGACCATGGTACACTGTGTGATGGCACTAGATGTGGACTAACAAAGCTCCAGCAGAGTTTTATACATCTGTTAATCCTATAAAGCATTATATTTCCTTTGGGAAGGACACATTCCCTATCCCATTTAGACCTTTTTGTTATATAAACCTGGTCATACTCAAGTCTACTAACAAATGTGACTACCGGGTTCTAACATGATTCTCTGTCAGTGACAGGGTGGAAATGCACGGAGCTTCTACCTTCACTGTACAACTGGTGGACCAGGCAGAATAAATTTGGATAAATGGGAATAAAAAGCTGAATAAAATATCTAAGTCTTAAGAAGAAGAGCCAAAAAAGACTAGGAGTGTCAGTCGAGGAGTGCAGGCTGCATTTTGGGGTATGTGAGTGATAAAATGAAGGTGAAATGAACATTGGCATACCTTCAACAGGATTAAAACATGCACAGATTCTAGTTAATTTATACTTGAGCTACATGGGACACAACTTGGCACATCATGGATGGCTGCTGTTTTTTTTAAAATTGAAAGAAAAATCACAACAGGAAGGCTTTTTTTATTCTTTTGTGCACACTTTCACTGGTGGGTTATGGGCGGATGGTATCACAGCTATGGTCATAAAAGAGTGTTGTGTCTTACTCTATTGCATTAGGCTGTCTGTGGCGCCTCAGCTCTTGTGGAGCTACCTGTAGCAGAAGACGCATGCACAAATAGAGGTGGGGACTAGGGCTAGACTGATGTATCAGTTACAAACCACATGCGCTTGAGCATTTAAGCGGTGCCAGTCTGTAAAGCCTGACATTCAGCCGGCCTCACCCTGCCTTAAGGACCTGCTATCCCACCTAAAGACATCTCAGTATTATGGCTTTCAGGGGTAGTTTCATAGGCGTTTCCACACACAGGTTCTTCAATTCTGAGTGGATTCTTATCACTCAAAATAAAAATGTACTTAGAAAATGTATGATTTGAATATAAGCACAAAGTAGTGGGGATCCTGAAACCCACATCAGTCTAACCCTAGTGGAGGTGGGGAGGGCAGAAGGTCGAGGGATGAGATGTGACTATGTCTGGCTGGCAGTTAACATGGTACCTTGGCACATAACGATGGGGCACAGGGGAGAGCAGTCATGAGGTGTCACCAGGTAATTAGGTGGTCAGGCAGGCATTTGGGTGGGTGGGGATTGACACAGTCATTTAGCTCTGGGCAGTTAGTCGTTGCTCTGTGAGCGATGCCTGGTGTGATACCGTCTTGTTTTCATGAGCCCTCAGCTTGGACACCACGTCAATGAAGGCCAGGCTCTGGACTTCTTTATGGAGAGGTTCTAAAACGAGAAGAAATGGAAAATCCCTGTTTGGCATTTTGCTTTTAATGGAGAGCAGTCAGTCAACAGAGAGACAGGGAGGAAGGTTATGCCATGCAACACAGATCCCCTGGTCAAGAGCCAAACCATGGATGTTGCAGTTATGTGGCGGTGTTGCTCACAGTTTCTCTTATTAACAGAAATACTGTTGCCATTCACTTATATCCTATCACTTTGCCATTCCTGTGATCAGTGTGAAGCCAATGGCAATAAATCTCAACACTTCCTGCAGGTGTTTCACATTAAAAGCCATACATGAACAGGAGGCCATTACAAACAAATGAACCAGGAGACTTTCAAGTAATAATTAATGCGAGAGCAGAAGTCTCACCTGAGCCCATGACTGCACAGATGAGGATCATAGAGTTGTACTTGATCTCTGGAGCACTCCTCTCGTCTGACAGCAGCTTGTGAAGCACCGACACCAGGTTGGCTGCAACAAAATCCTTCTCAGCTGCAACTGAAACCCAGGAAAAAGTCTCAGTGTGTTACCATGAAGAATACAAGGAAATGTGTTGGCTTACTTTGGCATGTGCTACATGTGATTATCAAGTTTACCTTGGGGATATGATAAATAATGCAGGTTGAAATGCTTTTTGCTCTCAGATGTCTGAGTCAAGCCATTTTCAGTGCTCTTGCAGAAATCTCTGCAGACAGTTTATGCTTTTGCTGAAACAATTTTCATCTGTTAATTATCAGCCAATAAAAATGCCCATTATATTTGCACCTCGTCCCTGATAAACGGTTTCTGTACAGTTTAAGTTTTTTGTAACATCTTTTTCCATTTATAAGAGGCTGAAAAGAGGTGAACTGTGTATGTATGATTACAGCACATGGACTAAGCTGCACAAAAGAGTCAGCCTTTTAAGACATTTTCCTGAGGTGATATGATGTGTGTGTCTATCAGCTACCAGCTTCTGTTTGTGATCGGTTGGATCACCACATCTGATTTATGTAGATAAACAAATGCTCTGGATTCAACTTTGTTTTTTTGTTTTTTTTATAGATAAAAAAAAATTGACTGTCAATACAAATGAAGAACTAAATTCATCCATCCTTGCTCTTACCCAGATCCAGCGCCGCTATGAGACCCAAAGCCACCAGTGCTTCATTCTGCATAATCATATGCTCACTGGTTGCCATGGTAACTAAGTGCTTGACCCCTCCTCCCTGGATCACAGTCCTGACAACTTCCTGAATCAAAAACAAAAAAGGTCAATTTATTAAACCAAACCTGAGATATAGCTTTAGATCAGTACAGATATGGCAGTAAACTATAGACCAGTAAATAGGTATCTACTAAATCTGTCATTTTTCATATTTATCGTAAAACAAACGTTGTCTAATGGTGCAGTGGCACTGCCCACAAGACCATTAAATGAATCATAGATGCCAAAGGTCAACTGCTGTAAACCTAGGAGCTTATGTCTTTATTATTACAACTTTTCTGACCAATATTGCAAATAAAATTAGATATGTTTTCTCTAAAATAACCTCAGGCCTGCATCCATGTTCTAAAACAATACAAGTATCAAACATACAACAGCTTTAAGCATTTTGTGTTGCTTTAAATTCCTAATGTGCAGTATTTCCCATAGTTCATGGTAACCCATGGAGTCTGTGATCACCAGTAGTGGCTATGTAACCAAGCCTTTTCTACCTTAGAAAAAGCTGGATTTACTAGTGTTAAGAATTTGTGTAGCGTGCAGTCTGACCTTGGACTTGCTGTGTCGAATGAGGGCCGACAGAAGCCTGTTTGACTCGCCCATCACTCCTGCATGATCTTTGGCTTCACACCACTCCACTAGCCTCTCCACCAGTTTCCCATTGGTCCCCAGCTGGTCTGCAGCTTCAGCTGAACCAACACGCAGCGTGCAAGATTAGTGTCTTATATTCTGGTTGTAATCCAGTACCACTAAATTCAAATATGCCTAAACTAGATTTTGTTCAGATTTTTCTCTACTCTGTACATGTGTGCCCTTTCTTGAGCAGCAGTTACCATATTTGTGTCTTTAGAACTCAGATTTGGACTGCTAAGATTCTCTCTGGACTTGCATACCAAAGCTCAATCAGAGCTGAGGGACAAGGACTCAAGATTACGACCAACTCTGCTTCGAATTTCTTTCACAAGGACTTGAAACTTAATGACTACAGGATACTGCTTATATTCTGACAAGTACTTTAGAATTTAGAACTGCTTCACTCTCTAAAATGTGTTGTCAGAGTAGCTTTTCTCTGAGGAATTTTTAAGGAGTTGGTGCTAAGATAAAGACAAAAATAAAGATACAATCTCTACCTTGTGTGTCGATAAGCATACGTAACGTCCCCAAGAGTTTAAACTGCACTGGAGGCATCTCTGATTGTAAAAACTTCAACACCATATCCGCTACACCCGCTGACAGCATCTTGGATTTGTTTACCACTGGAGAGAGAAAGCAACAGGGAGGATTTAAGGATGGTTCAGACTAAGGCACAAGACTTTCATTGATTATCAAACCATTCTTTGCAGTCCTCACTTTGTCCTGCAGGTAAAACACCTCTTTAAATATTTAACTATTAGTAGTACCGTCCTATCCTATACAACAACTACAAAAGATGGCAACTCCAAACACAAGGCTGCTATTACAAAGCTGTTAAAATTCATAAATACAATTGAAGCTACAATTCCTGAAACCAGTGCACATTTATTAATTAAAAAAATTTAAGTGTGTGCTTTGCTTCCATTTAGACTTTAAATGGAAGTCACACACAATAAGTAATAATGGAAATTAGTTTAAAAAATAAAAGAAGATCTCTGCAGTGAAACTACGTGCAATGCATGATGAGGGACCGCCTGCAATGTTTCATGGACCACCAGGGGGCCATGGACCGCTGAATGAAAATCCCTGACATTAATGGTTAAGACTTGGATTGGTCGGTTTCTTTTAAAACAGAGGTGCTTATGAAATAATTAGTGTCCTACAAGCACAAACACAATACAATGAAGATCTCTAGATGGCTGATCCTGGTATGTGTGCACGCACTCTACATGACTTGACATAGCAGCTCACCAGGTATGGCCAGATTCCGCAGGGCACTGAGAGCTGCGTGCTGAACAGTGACGTTGCCTTCCTCAACGTGTCGGTCCAACAGTTCTAGAAGCTTCTGCACAATACCAGTGTCAACCATGTGGATGCAGTTCCCATCTATATAAAATGCAAGGAGAGGAGAAACCTTAATGTTGAGTCAGAGAGTGTACTTCACAAGAAAAACTGACCCATGCTGGGTAGCCTACTGCATCAAAATCATATTAGTTTTGGCGGTAATTGATAGTGTTGAATATTATTTAAAAGGCAGCAATATTACCAGTGAGTCACTTTCAAAATGCAAATTTGGTTGTGTGTCCAATCACTGTCTTCCAGTTAAATAGACATCACTGTATTGGCTGTCTACACCCATTACAGACAACAAAAATGAGAAAAACAGCAGTAACATTACTTTACTGAACCTTTGTGTCTGTCCAACTATAACTTTTAAAATTTTTAGTCTACTTTCTGCTGCAAGCTCATCTTTAGATAATATGAAGCAATGCTTACCATTGCGAGCAAAATTAGCGATGGCCAGAGCTCCAGCTAGCTGCAGTTGATGGTTATGAGATGGAATCCAGGACAGGACCCTCTGGAAGACACTGCCCTTTCCTCCCTCAAACAGCTTCTGCATGGACTCATCTACACAGCAGGGTGAAGACAGGTTAGTGCTAAATCAGCAATAACCTCACTGATGCACTCTGATCACACGGTGTTATGAGGCAGCAAGGATCTTACTGTTTGCTTACCACTCAGAAACGTATTTGTTTTTGTTGTTTGCAGTGTCATTGAGGGACTGAACTAACTGTGGTCATTTCTGAGATGGTGGTTTGCGTTGCTGTAGGGTTACAACGTATTATGAAATGTTTTTTACGATATGGGGCATCATTCTCCTTGGGCCTACGTATGCCTACGCTAACCAATCATGTTGCAGCTGACCTGCATATCTGTCCACTGTCCAGACATAATATACTGCATGTAGTGGAGACCTTGAAGGAATTAACAAAAGATATGTGGATTTTTTTTCCCTTGGTATTTATGACTATATTGACTTTTATGAGTCTAATGAATGGTTTCCAGTGAGAAACATCTTGTCTTTACTTAGAGACCATTTTCACAGAGGAGTACAGAGACTGAGAGAGAACTTTGTCATGTGGTCCTTCAATCCAAATGGATGCTCGTGCCAAAAGTGAATAAATACCCTCAGTGTGTTCCTGAGGTATCTTGTGAGGTATATTCACAAGAATAGGCCGCTTGTAAGGTTACAGTGATTTTGAGCCATGAGCACCAAACTCTAATCAGTTCATGTCTGAGTCCAAGTGAACATTTGTGCAAAAACTGAAGAACATGTGAATATGAGAGAATTTCCCCCAAGACGGTCTCGTGATATCATGTTCATAAGGATGGGACAGATGGACGAACATGAAAACATAATGCCTTTGTCCACGGCTGTTGCCATTGTGGAGGCAAAAATGCAAGAAAAACTGTCAACAGTAAACATTTCACATGATCTATCAAGCAGTAGTCAAACACTGTGACAATCGCAGCTTTGTTGCTAATAGAAGTTTAAGATTAAACAGTAGTCAAACACTGTGCTGCTTAAACAGAGCTTAACCAAGCGCATGTGAACCGATGGGTTTGGTAAGAATAGGAGTATGCATATTTATAACACAAAACTGATAACACTACAACCAGGGGCTGGGAAGTTATAGACTGGCCCCACATTTTGCACAAATCCTGGTGTTTACCTCCTAGGAGCAGGAGGACCATGAGGTCGGAGGCAGTCTTGAGTTGGGCGATGTCCTCCTCCCTCACTCCATCAACAGTGTGAGCCACCACTTCAAGCAGACACTCCACCAAGCCCGCCTCCACCAGCTGCAGCTTTATCACATCTGGCAAGGGAAACAGGACAAGCCTTTCAAAGACTAAAGTGAGCATATACAGCACTGTAAGTGTGAAACACACACACATATGATGATAGTAACAAAATTACAATAGAAAACAGAATAGATAGAGGCCAATCAAAATGTCAATTAGTCCTTAAATTAATGTATGAGTGTAGAACTGAAAAGGACTGATCGATCAACAGAAAATAAATAAGGAACAAATGACTATAAAAAATATAAATATAATATAATATATAAAAAAATCATCTGCAGTGCTGCTTAGCCTTCTATCATAATAAATGAAGTATCCTCGGAGTTCAGTGTGCTGTTCAGACAAAAAATGTTAATAGCAATTGTTTACTACTTGCTAACAAATCAAAGATGACTGAAAAACAATTACTGAAGAAATAATTGGTAAATTAACTGATAAACAAAAAATGTTCACGGTGTTCAGAAAAGACTTCCACTGTCCACTTAAGGTTTTTAAAAATCCCTTAGCAGTTGTTCCTTTAACGTAAAAGACAATATAGCGAATTACTCAAGAGTTAAAAAGTAAAACAAATGTTAACATTTGTCACCATTGCACTCTTAATTATTCCTGTCTCACCATTATACCTCTGACAGAAGAAGTGTTCAATTGTTATTTCTCTAGAAACCTAATGAACAACAAGCAGTGTGACAAATGAAAGAGCTGGAGTAGTAGAGAAAGCAAAGCTTCTCTAGAGTAAAGTAGGATGTTGTCCTGGAGACTGACAGTATGGGAGCACCCAGTGTGCCTGCTGCTGCTGAAACACACACACACACACACACACACACACACACACACACACACACACGTTTAAAAAAACAGAGCAGCTGAGCAAATGCAGGAACTGCCTGCGATGACTGTGCAGTTAGCAGCTAGCCTGGCAAGCACGACTCACACTGAAAGTATAATTTACTAAACAGTAGGTGGACATGATTTGCATCTAAAGGCATGAGAGAACACTGCTGCCTCTCACTGTTCTGTGTTTGATAAGACTTCCTACACAGTGGATGTGGCCTTTTGTAGAGCTTAATAATGAGAAAGGAAAAAAATACCATTTTCTGCAAGTGGAGCCAGGACCTCAAAAATCATCTCCTTCTTCTCATGCTCTGTCTGCTTCTGGAAAAGACGAACCAGCTCCTCAGCAATATTAGTGGAGGCAAACTGCTCTTTGCTGGACTCTGAAAACAAAAGCAGACATCCCGTAACAGAGACCCTCTCCTTTCCAATATCCACCTATGAAAATACACTTTGAAAACACTTTCTTTTGATTTCAAAACATCTTGTGTGCATTCCACTCGAGTTAATGATTATGTTTTCTGTATACGAGTGAAGGCATTTGTGGCCCTCGTAGGAAAAACTCATCTGTTTTTGCAGTCAAAAATTATTTTCACATTTGGTAATATTAATCTATTGATAAAGAAAATACATATACAGTCTTATGCAAAAGTTTAGGCACCCCTTGATAAATAACAGATTTTGGTGATTTTTTATTTGAACAGATGTTAACACAGTTTCTCTTGGAAATGGAAAAAATGCACAATATTTTCTGCAAACAGTGATGCATAGTTACTTCTTATGCCATAAATTGAACAAAAATAAAAAATAAAAACATTATTATGGCATGGTGCAAAAGTTTGGGCACCCTAAGAGTTCCAGAGTCTCAAAGTCTCTCACAAGGTATCAGACCTTAATCAGCTCGTTAGATCTGATGCACAGCAACAGCTGTCATTGGTAAATGCCAATTTCAAAGCTGTACAAATACTTTGACTCTTCAAACCTTGTGCACACACTTGTGGACACCCAGCAACCATGGGTTCCTCTAAGCAGCTGTGTAAGACCCTGAAAATGAAAGTTATTGACGCCCACAATGCAGGAGAAGGCTACAAGAAGATAGCAAAGCGTTGTCAGCTTGCAGTTTCCACAGTAAGAAATGTAATTAAGAGATGGCAGATCAGGGGAACTGTGGAGGTCAAGATGAGATCTGGAAGACCAAGAAAACTCTCGGACAGAACTGCTCGTATGCTGGTCAGAAAGACAAATCAAAACCCCCATTTGACTGCAAAAAACCTGCAGGAAGATTTAGCAGACTCAGGAGTGGTGGTGCACCGTTCCACTGTGCAGCGAAGTCAGAAAATAACTGTCCAGTCAGAGCAGAATATGTAAATTACGTGCTCAACACACCTCCAGAATTACAGACTCACTGAAGGCCTGATACAGTTAGCTACTTTGTATCTGCAGATAAGTGGTCACTTGTTCAGGTAGACATCATGCACCACAAGGTGTGTTCACATTTGGAAATTAGATATTAACTAAATGATACTGTTGCACTTTGTTGTTGCAGATTGCTGTTTGGGTGTCGAACTGTGCTTACACTTGCTGTAGATACCTAGTGATTTGGTTTTGGTTTGTAGTTCAATGTCAGATATCTACTGTTACATAAGGTTTCAGAGTAGACACTCTAATCATCAGTCCATGACTGAACAGTGTCACTGTGCTTTCTGCAAATCCAACTGATGATGGACCAACATGACACCTTAAAACAGGACTTAAAATACAACCTAAAGCTAAATACTTAAAAAGACTCTTTCAGATGCTACTTACCAAGCTCAGCCAAATTCCCAAAGGCAATTAGACACATCTCTGTCAGGGCTGTGTTGTGGGAATGGATGCCTAGCAGCTTCACCAGAGTGGGAATCACACCCATATTGATCAGCTGGGCCTGTAAGGAATCTGCAATAAACAAAAGATGCAGAAAGACAGGCACTCAGTCTGTTGTTGTAAACACAGTGTGGAGCTGAGGAGATCACAGGTGAACTGTGAAAGCTGATATGCTATACTCAAACAAACAGCAATCGTTTGTATAAATCTGGTTTCAAAAGATGATTTCCAATAACGTGTACTGCATCTTTAAACGTGTTCTGTACATCTGTGGAGAATATATACTACCATTATCTTGGGATAAACCTCACATTATTCCTCTTTAAAACTAAACACACTCAAAGGTTGTTGTTTTGTGTTTTTTTTTGCTACAGCCTTATGCTCATCCGACAGCAGTCTGGTTATCATGTTGAACCCAAGACAAATTTCTCTAAAGGGACAATAAAGTATACCTTATGTAATTAGCACTTAAGGTCATATTATATAAGCTTAATTTAAACTGTACATTCACAGTGCAAACCAACAAAAATCTAGAAAAAACAATCACATTTTTGATGCAGCAATAAATATACTAATAGTCTCAGATTTCCAAAACCTAAAAGGAAATGTGAAAATAAAGTTGAAGTGGGAGCGTTATTAGAAGCACCTGAAGAGCACAAAGAAAGCAATCAGGTTTGTTTTTTTATTTAAAAGGCACAGTAGATGAATCAATCATGGAGGGAGACAGGAGTGGGTGGATGAGCAGGTGGAGTTGGAAAAAGTCTTAATACTTAAAAAGACTTATTCAGATGCTTATTTACTGTCAGTCAGAACTTAAAGCAGCAGCACAAGCGAAACCCTAAAGCTATGTAAAAGTAAGTTTAAAAAAAGTATTATAAAGTAAATTTATACTTGGAGCCAACAAAGCAGGTGCAACACCAAAGAGTAGGGCATTATTTCAGCCTCCAAAGCTTTTTACACTGCAGTTCCCTATATCAGATAGAGTGGAAAATCTGATGGACTGCTTTCTGACAGAACAAGTATGAGGCCGCTATTCGTCCAGTGTGAATGAAGCTAAAGCTTTCAGGAGTTTTTGAAGATCCATGATAAGAAGACTTCATCATTTCTCGGACTTTCAGTTCTTTTTCCACTATTTGATTATAATCACATTATTGTAATTTGTTTCCTGTTCTAAGGGCCTTGACATACTGGTAACATTGTAAATGTTATTGGGTTATGCAGACATACGCAGACCAGAAAAACAGATGGGAAATGCTAGAAGCATGAGTGATGATACCAGCAAGTACCAGTAAGTCAGCAGTGGTGTGAGACAGAAACCATTCATTAACTCAGCCATGGTCTCATCTAAAGTGTTTACAATATTTGCACCAGGGTTTAGCAATGAATCTATCTACAGTGTTTACAAAGTACAATACACACTACCTTCAAATACTGATGTTCTGTAAAACTTAGTTTAGTAAGACACTATAGTGAATCAATAAAACTTTGACTAAAACAGATGACTTTTTATAACTGTGATGATCTTTTTATAATTGCATATGTCCCTTTTTGCCAGGAGCTTACCCAGCTTACACGGTATACAGCTGCTATTTAGTCAAATTTGAGACTGATGTTACTTTATGAGTCCAACCAGAAAGAGACTGTTCCAAAGCTCTGAGTTTTAATACCAATCAGATTATTCAGGCCGTGGTTTAGCCATTATATTTTTGAATGATATGCAACCAGCACGCAATGTTTGTTGTTCAACTGTAAACTGTCCCACCTAGTAGATATCTTGATAACAATTTAAAAAAAAATTTAATCCAACAAATTCTATTAAAAATGGTTGCCTAAACATAAAATCAATATCAGGATTAAAATCAAGAACTGGTCTGACTCCACGACTAATCTTGCCCTCACTAAGAGCCAAACACCTCTGACCATTATCCGGTGCCAAAAGACACCTCGGCTGGAGGTAGGAGTCTGTCAGATCATATATTTGGTTCTTTCAACATCTCTTGTCATCACAAAGCTATAAACTGCTGGACAGCTCGTAAAACGTATACAGAGATACAGTGGAGAGTAGAGTGAAGATGAACATATATGGAAGAGAAAGCACAAGCTGTATGTAAAATGTGCTAGACAGCAGAATAAATGGCAACCTTTTTATGCATAATTAAAAAATAATGTGACAACCTAAAAGTCCAAATGTTCCATTTAGTGATCACTAGAGTGATGGATATATATATATTTCTAAAATATTTTACACAAGTTCTCAGACAGCACATACATATTGTCATGCTCCTTAAGGGAAAAGTTCACTACTGTGAAGTAAAAAGCTGGAGTTAGGTTGTTTTGAGCCTAACTTGGCATAAGGAAGGAAGCAGGGTGACAACAGACTGGCTCCGTCTAATGTAAACATCTCCGAAACATACTAATTAACACATGCAGACAGGTGGCAAATGACAGGAAAAGCCAACATAAAGTGTTTTAGTAAGGTGTTGGGCCACCATGTGCCACCAGAGCAGCTTCAGTGTGGCTTGGCGTTGACACTACTAGTGTCTGAACTCTACTGGAAGGATGAACAGCATTCTTCTAACAGATATTCCCTCATGGGGTGGTTTGATGATGGTGATGGAGACGCTGTCTAACACGTCTTTCCAACATCTCCCATAACTGGGCTGAGATCTGGTGACTGTGAAGGCCGGAGAATATGATTCACATCATTTTCATACTCATCAAGCCATTCAGTGAATCCTGGTGTCCTGAGGATGGAAGCACTGTCATCCTGGAAGAAACCACTCATTTATTCAGGTTTTCAGTTCAAATTGTCACCTGTGTGTATTGTACTTGGTTAATACACAAGCAGAAATGTAACAAGATTAAGGGGAATATTTACTCAGTTTTTGGGACTCATTTTTATTAGCCACTAAACAGGGAGGTTGCAAATGTTCTTATTTATTAAAACAATCACAAAGGGAGTTTTGTGCTGGCAAAAAGACCAAACAAACAAAATCAGAGGACAAGCGGCACTGCTGGAAATTGTGTGTTTGGCCTCATGCATTATGTAAGGCATTCCCATTTGGGGACACAAAATATAGGAGGTGAGAATGAGGATTTATACAAAGATGCTCAGCGCCTGATTTAACACCTCAGACTGTTAGCTACGACAGAAGGAACTGTGGCTGATATTTAAGGTCAACAGATGACAGGTTTTAAACTTGCGCCGCTGCTGTTATTCACCTGAGATGTCGTCAGTGTTAAGAACACTGTAAATTGTGCTTGTAAACTGCATCTTTCTTTTTGGGATGACAGGTTTTCAGGTCACACCATTCTTCATTTACTAAATGAAATAAAAGATTTGGCTACAGAAGTTTGTTTCTTCAACTTAGGCTTTCTTCTACACTCAATCTCAGTCCACACGTGCGCAATACAAGCACCTTATAAGTGGAAGCGCATTCAAATGAACACTGCTGTAGCTTAGCTCATTTACATAACTGGTGTTGGTAAATTTGCCACTAAACTGTAAAATTACAGTGACGCAATATTTTTCTCGCCTGATCAGAATTTGCGAGAGGATTAATAAATATCCCACTAAGAGTCTACCGCTCTGCAAGGCAGTGCCTGCTAAACGCTATCGTCAGTACGCAACATTTTCACAGTGACAATGCTAATATTTGTTTAACATAACATAACTAATAATGTTTACCATGGTTGCCATGTTAGTTTAGCATGTTACTAATTAGCACTGAACACAAAATACAGCTGAGGACTGATGGGAATGACATTAGTTTTGCTAATTTCTCATAATTCATAGTATTGTACAAATTCATTTTTGGACCTGACTATGGCACTATATAAAAAGTAAGGGAACAGAAGATATTACAGATCATTCTGATGGGAACATGAATGTGTGTATCCAATGTCATAGTAATACATCCAGTAGTGATATATTTATATAGAAATATTAGACTCAAAACCACAAGACCACAAAAGTCAAAAACATTCCCAAAGTCATAAGGATCTAGGAACCTGTACAAAATGTTGTAGCAATCATCTTGTAGATTTTGAGATACATCACTGGCTAAGTGACAGTTTTGAGCTGTTTGTGATGAAGGACAAACAGGGGATCACTTGAGTATTCAGAATTCATCATCTTGTGATTATAAATGTCTTGTAAAAAAAAGTGAGACAATCCAACAAGTACGAGTCAAACCTAGCATAGCATAAAAACATGGAAAGGACTAAGCTAATTAACATTTTCTACCTGCTATTAATAACGATAACCTACTGGTGAAAGGTAAAGTAGGTTGAGGAAGGGTATTGCTATGAGGAAAGCTGGCTGTAAGCAAATATTAATGACTGTAGATTATAGAGGTGAAGCTGGAAAAGCAAAAGAGAGCAAAATAGAAACATCGGTAGAAATCTAAACCAGAAAAGACCTGACTCTGCCTGGTTCAGTTCCACACTTCGGTCTGTGCTTAAGAAAAAAGAAAACCCACTGATTAGTTGAGATTTGTTAACAGTTATTCTTGGGGGAAGATGGTCATTACCATTATCATTGCTATAGTTCATCAGCATGCCACAAAAGACAGTCAAGAGCTTCTCATTTTCCGGCTCAGTATTTTGGTAGAGCGATTTAATGTGTTCAGCTACTATCTGAGCCCCTCCTGCCAGGTCAACTGCACTCCTGCCCTCATCTGCAAAACAAAGAGGCCAGGACACAAATCAACCACAAAGCAAAAGGGAAAAAAGAAAAATAACCACAACTTGCAAAATACACAAACGCAATGCTAAGTTGGTACAAATCAATGGCAACTAAAGCTATAAAACAGTCACAATGCTGAATAAAATAAATGTAAAGAAAAGAATTATGTCCACAACTACATGATATGAAGCAGATCCAAGTCTAGGTTCTTAGTGCAGTGAATAAGGACTGTCATTAGGCTTATAGTCCTTCTGATAAAAGCTTTTCATCGTGCAAATTGGTTTTCTTTAATGCTGCAGTTGACAATGGTAGCCATAATTCTTTCCTCATGTAATTTATTTCAATATATGCGGCAACATAACAACAGTAAAGCTTTCCTGGCACAGTTAAGACAATTATTCTATTGCAGCCAATAATTAAAACAACACAATCAACAGAAATGTCAAAAGAAACTACAATATTATAAAAAAAAAAAAAAAACAACCAAAACAAAACTAATTTTTATCTTTAGGAGGGTGACTGTCTCTCAAGGAGGTCCTTGTCTGGTAGGATGGCTGCCAGGACAGGCATTACATGCGTCAGTCCTCTCAGCATTCGTGCATCTGCTACTTTCATTTTCTAGTGGCTGAATGCCATGCCTTAAATCTCATCAAAATATTCAATGCCACGTGCACAGCATTCTGGCCTGTTCAAGTGAAGCTGCTGTTGATGCCGACTCAACCACTTGTTTCAAGTAAAGGTAGAGGCAGGACGCCTGAAATTTGGGCTATCTTTACGTTAAAGGCAGCAGAGTATGTGTAGCATAACAATTCTAGCAACACCTAAATACTCTAAATGGTTCAGTCTGCGCAGTTTCTATACTTTCGAAGGTGAAAAAAGTAAATACGAAGAAATAACGCTGACCATCTCACTAGCTTCCATGATGCTTTGTTTACAACTCTGTTTACTGTTTGCTTATCTGTTGGAGAGCCGATGTCCATTGTGATGTCCATTGCGCGACCTTTACCCTGCCAGATCCCTAGTACAAAGTCTAGGTAAAAATCCAAATGAGCCCATGTGAGAAAACAGCAGAGTGGAATCCAGAGTACACACACTGAGCTAGTGGGGGTGTTGATGATGTTCTATCACGTGACTGGTGTGAAACCGGAAGAATACAAACATCCAATGGTTAAGAAGAACAGTCTTTTACAATGAAGACACCGACAAAAATGTCCAACTCGAGACACAACAAGATTGGAGAACTTTCTGTCGTTAAGAGCCGGCGCTGAAATTGTCAAACAAATTCAAAGCTTTTGAGACTTGGTTGTTTATGACCAAATTACATCATCTCCTGTTGTGTGCTACTGTACATGTGTGAAAGGGCAACTCTAGGCAAATGTCTGGACCTGATTCTGTGGACATCATCACAAGTTCATATGTGAAAACAGCATATGTCTACTGAGTGACTGTACATTCTGGTTACTGTATTATAGAGAACTCATTTTCATTCTACTGTAATAAAAGTGATTTCTGAACATCCTGATTCATTTTTCTGAAGCAACCAAGGCAATTTCAAAATATGCACAGTATATAGGTTCCTTTAAGGTAGTGACTCGTCACTTCTTCACACTGTCCCAGTGTGTCTATCATAAAACCATGCCAGCTTACCAAGACCCCCCAACCACTCAAACAAATGTCAAATCCCACCAGATTCCACAGATACCCAGCATTTAACAAGATGAGAAACTGTGCACCAGAACTAACAGCTGTGATTAAAGCCTCTAAGGCTGGCTGCCAAATCAGACTAAGTCTGCTGCTCATCTCTGAGATCAGTGCTCAGGTTTCTACATGTAGCACTTTCAAACACAATCAATATTGGCTGATAAATAATGACACCTTAGTTTTTAAGCACATCACTAAACAAAAAGGGGGCTAATGTGCATCATGGTTTTCTTAACAGGTAATTTTCAAAATGCAAATTCCACCAGCCCTGTCCCTTATTGCAAGTTTAAACAGAGAACTACCAAATCTGTGTTAATGACAAGTGGATAAAGACATATATAAATACACTGCAGCAATTCCATCTATAAGTATATGTATTTTTCCATAATGTTCCTATGAAGGCCTTACCTATATTATGATTAACATTTTTGAACTCTGTTAATTTTCAGCTTTTCACTGGGACTTCCTTCTTTTCATTTTCAACAGTTTTCCTTTCATCAGAGCACTGAGTGTGGAGAAATGGTTTTGATGAAAATCACTGAGGGAGAGTCAGACATTTGTGAAGTAGGTAAAGTGCAACATGTTTCTTTGTCTCAAACACCAAGAGCCGCTTCCTATTGTACCATTTACAATGTGCAGGCAAGATCAGGTCCTTATGCTGTGTCCAATCGCCACAGTTTCTTTCACCCAGTAACCATAAGGTTTTGAATGAAATTATATTGACTTTCTTGTTGAAGATGTGTTTGCTAAAATGACTGTGATTAGCAATTAGGTCTATTAAATAGGACACAGAGGTCAGTGCAAATTTAAACTTCAGGCGTAAGGTGCATACATGTGCATGACCCATAATATTTTGCAATTTTGGTGACCACCAGCATTGGTGCATTTTGGACACTGAAGTGATTACATGGAAATGTGATCATTTTTGTGGAAGTACTGCGCATGAATATTTACTCAGTAGTTTGTTAATATGACTGTCCAGCTTTTGTGAATGAAAGAAAGACCTGTAACCAGCAGCCATTACACAGTAATGTACCCACAGCCTGCATCCACCATGATTTACAACTGAAGATCTCAAAATTGAATTCTGGGGGAGGGGGCAGTGCAATGTGACTAAGTGTCTCTACACATTATAGTTTATTTGAATGTAACTTTATAAATGGTTATTTGTTGTGGGACAATACCACCATACCAACACACAAACAGAGTAGACTTGCACCCAAACAAAACTGCATAAAGATGGCACTTGAAGCTACACTGGCTTTGCACTGGCAGAAAATGGAGCTCATTGTGTTTTATATTCGTTTCAGATGCTGATTAAATGACTTTCCCAAAATTAAATAATCAAAAATATGAAGCACATACAATGTAAGCATTTGTCAAAATTTCACTGTATTCTGGTCATGTAAAGATTACTCTGAACTCCTCACTTGCTGAGGGAAACTGTAACTGGGTGCAGTGTTGAAGGTATAATCAAACACAGTATGATCTCAGTGGAATACCCCACTCAGATTTCAAGGTGAATCATTTTTTATGAACTTAAAGGAGCAGTTCAGTTAGCTAAATTCACTAGAATATATCAAACATGTATGAAACAATTTAAATATTATTAGAGCCTGTTCAGAAAATATTTAGGATAACTCATTTGAGTTTATGTGCAGCTGTTGCATATTGTGTTCTCGTTAATAATATGTAACCCTGAGCTGCACAAGTGGTGTTGATTTGTATGACATTGTACAGTTACTATGTATATTTTAATATGAACTCCAATAATAAAGCAAATGTGGTTCCAACTAAACAAAAACAATTAACCTCGATGTCAGAGAAATTCAACTGAAGTGTTCAGGCACTAATTGCAGTGCCCTCCATGTGAATGCAGTAAATGGAATCTGGTTATTTAGAGCTCAACAAAAACTTCCCTGCTGACAATCCTTTAACACTGTTAAAAGCCTGTGTAGCTGAAACACATGCTTAAATATCACAGTTGTCTCTACTGTAACCCAAAAGCAGCAGCATCTTATTATTTATTGTGTTTTAGGTCTGTGATGGTGAGGACCAAGCTCATGAAGGATTCAATGTTCCCTAAGCAAAACAAACTCCTACTTACGGCTGTCATAACAGATGTTGCCAAGAGCTCGACCAGTCTGCAGCAAAACCTCTTGGTCGGTGGAGTTTAACAGCTGAGTTAGAGGAGGGATAAGTCCGGCTTCAACACAGGGACTCCGCATGAACTCTAGAGAAAAGCAAGGAGATTGGATAACAGGTCAGAATAAACCTGCCTTCAGTTCAAGGAAGTTAAGAACATCAAGCTGCAAATTTGTACCAGAACTTTAATGACAGTATATGTTTGGGCAAACCTAAAAAAACAGAACAAATGATCAAGATACTCAGTCCCTTTAAAAATATAATAAATGAATCTTCAGGAAAATTTGACACTAATCCAAACAAATTGGTTCATTCTTCTTTGCCAGACTTATTTTGACTTTGGTAGGAACATGTACAAGACACCATCACCCTAAAGCACAAATTCCATCACCAGCCTTTTTATTAAACCTCAAAGACAGATCTGATGTTAGGAGGGCTGCTAGGCATTGAAACAGCTAGCTTGATGTGAAGATTAGAAAATAGGTCAATGCAGGAAACCAGTTCTTCCTGTGCCGCCAATATCAGCATGCAGGAAACCAGTTCTTCCTGTGCCGAATGTCACTGATTGCATACATACATGTTCTTTGACCCTCCAGGTTATGTTAAAACTCCAAATGGCAGTTTCACACAATAAATATTCTAAATTGCTACCAGAAATAACTTATGGAAAAATGTTATAACAGAAATTCTCCAAGATGGTCACTGTTAGTGTTACACAAACTCCAATATAGCTGGGGAACAGGACGAATACTGTACATTCTAAACGTGGAACAAAGTCACTGTTTTGCAAGTAAGAACTTTTTCATATTAATCTAAATCAGTATCATTATGTTGATACTATTAATGAGAAAGGAAACACATTCAACATGTTTGTTAAAATTCAAGGATGGACAAACTTTGGTATGGTGAGCACCACTGGAAGCAGACAGGCTGATGTCTTAGTGAAGCTATTCAATGGTGAAATAAGCAGCAGATTTTTTTTCATTATGTAAAGTTTAAGTCACTAGATTTATGACTCAAGTATGACTTGAGCTCAGACTATGATGTTTGAGTTCACACCTCTGGTACTCGCTATCTGTGACAGGCTGAACCATTGGCTGATGGACTTTTCTAGTCAACTTAAGTCCCCAAAATAACTGCCTTTGTTATTCTGTCTCATCTGCACCAAACATGATGCAAACTCATCCATATCCATCCACCCAAATAAAAGCATTTACTATTGCTGCTTAAGGGGGTGACAGTGGCATTACAGTGTTACAAAACCAGCCAAGCCAAGCACTTTCATAAGCCCTTTTCAGACATAAATGTGCAGGCTACATGTACAGTAGCCACAAAGCAGTTGCTTTTCTGGCAATCAGACTTAGAGCTGTTATGCACAGAAATCCCAGCAAGGCTTTAGTCAAACACAGAAGGACCTAGCTGGGTACAGCCACAACTTTCGCATGATGTTCAGCTTCACACAAGACAGAGACAAAGCAACACTGTTTATCTTGTTAGTAATTTCTCCTCTGCAGGGAGCTCTCTGATTTCCATGTCAGGTCAACTTCCAGCCAGATGCTAAACCACATCCTCTCTGTACCAGTTTTAAAATAAACTTTGTACCAACTAGTAATCTTATGTTCTTTTCAGCACTGTGCCCAAATTTCGCCATCTGCCCTAAATCCACTCCACTAAGGGAGAGAGTGGGGAGGAGGGGAAGAGAGAGAGATGCATAGGTGTCAGAGAGACCACGAGTGAATGAAGAAGGGAGCAGCATTAGCAAGAACAAAGCAGTGAATCAGAGCAAACAGTGTGTGTGAGTATGTCTTATGTAGCACTGTCATCATCTTGAGCAGGCCTTACTTTAATAGGTCCAACCAGGTAAAATTGGAAGCAACACTTTGCTTCAGACAGGACACCTAGGACACCTGTGAAATAGCCAGCAAATTCCTGGGTAGGAGTGTCGGAAAAGGGGCTTCAGTTACCAACCCAGCTATTTGTGAACAAAGGTTACAATATGACAGAGACAAAACAATTTCACTAAGGGGGGTCCAAATTTATCTGGGTGAGGTGATGACTCACTACTGTCTAGATAACAGTTTGCATTCCCACTGACAAAGCTCAGTCAGCATGTTCTGTATGTGGAGAGGATGTCTCACCACTGACTATACTGTAATCATATTTTCATGTGGGCAATCTGGGTTTTGACAGGGATAAGACACTCTCAGCTGTTGTAGTGGTGGTTTACAGTAGATGTCTGCAAATAAGTCATAAGTGCCGTTACATTACATCTTGCCTGGTGCAGCTTTAAAAAAATCAAGTCAGTTCAAACTGTCAGAGAGAACGGGAGTCATCTTTAGCCCAGCATTCACTTGGCTGCATGTAGACGTTTCCGGAAGTAGTGACAGATAAATGTCAGCGGGTCGTTGCCAAGCTTGGCAAACTGCTGGGGAGTGATCATTAGCTACAGTCTTGCAAGCTGCTAAAAACCCATTCATTATCCTAACCTTTTCTTGCCCCAACTTCTATTCATGTCTGCTTTTCTCTACTTTAAAACCTTGACTTGTGCTCACACAGAGGCATCATGGAAAATGGAAGCTCTCTAACACCTTATACATTAGCCTGACAGTTAGTGACAGCTTTGCTCTGAAATCCAAAGGAGGGCTGCTAAACCCAGCCCTGGTCTGAAATGGCCTGTCAGTCAAATGTTACTGTTTAATTATTCAAATGTATGAATTCAAACAAAAGTTCTAAAAGATGCACCATTTACAGTGTTGCTCCATTTACAACAAACTAAGAAACAGTTCATAAATTCTTATGAGGACAGCATGGAAAAACAAAAGGAATGAGAGCAAGAGAGTGTAAAAACTGAATACCGAGAATGGAGGAACAGAAAGTCAGAATGTGGATGGGCTTGGAAACCGAACCTCACCATTTTTGGCCACCTCAGCTATGATGTTGGCTACTTTAGGGGTGCTGGAAGACTGGGGATTTAGCAGGGTGGGGAGCAGAGGAAGAATGCCCATCTCCTGGATCTTCACACTGGCCTCAGTGTCTGGGATAAAAAAAAATAGCACTTTCAATCAAACGTTTATGCAATACTTTGGTCTATGACCAAATACCTGTAAAATGAATAACACTGCCATCTGGCTCAGCTGTATACTAACCACAGCAAACACACAGCTAATGTTGTACTTGGACCGCTGAAGTCCAGAGGTGTCTAGTAAATAACAGTAACATATGTGTACCGCCACGCTGCAAAGTGATCACTGGAACTGTAGTCTTTCCAATGCAAAAAAAAAAAGTTAATTATCCTCGTTAAAACCATTATCAACTTTCAGTAGTAAGTGTTGTAGTGATGGGGGCTTGTCTTAGAATATGAACAAAACCCAGAGGATGGCAGATGGGCAAAAAAAATGCTAAACAAGAGAATGCATAGAGTCACTGAAGCAGCTTTATTTTATTGACATTGTGACATGTACAACAAAATTTTGTTTGGAGCTAAGGGCCCTGGGCCGCTGCGTAATAATATGAAACAATAAAGGATTGTTAGACTGAGTCAATATAATCACACAGGCCTGGCACCACATGCTTTGAATAGGAATGAATCCAATTAGGAAAAGATCTGATATACAATTAGCTAGAGAAGAACTCCTCCTTCAACAGCAAGGTCGACTCTTACACACTCAGTCAGGAGTCGTCACACTGCCCTAAAATGTGGCTTTTGGCAGACTCTAAACCAGGGACCACAGCGCAGGGAATTATTATTTTCAGTGCTTATATACATTTCTTATCTAAGTACAATCAAGATATTATTTATTAAATTAACAACTGACCACATGAATAAGAGGGTTGAAATCTGATTATATGTATTTTGTTTAGCCATGTTGACAATATTACAGAACTGGTACTAGGCCCAAAGTAGGCCAGTCAAAAGAAAATCAGGCTTGACTCACTGTTGTTGGCGAGTGCTTTGAGCAAGCAGTCCAGACAGCTCTCCACGCTGTCAGTGGCGCTGTCGGTAGAAGCTAGCTTCAGCTTCTCCAGGGCATCACTCAGGTTGTCTGCAAACAGAGACAGTTCATAAACAAATCTTTGAGAGGTTTTTAATTTAAGGAGATAGTAAAGATAAGCTGAAAAGGACAGAACAAGAGAAATGCATGAAAGATCTGGAATGAGTCGATGTACAGTATCTAGGCCAGGGGTGTCCGACGTGTCACTTGCAGGCTACCAGTTTGCCTCTGTACAAACCATGGTAACAACATTAAATAACAACTTTGCTCAGCACCAGCTACATGGGCCCATTAAACTTTTTGATTCCTGAAAATTAAGTATGCCAAATTCACAATCAGCAGTTTGTTTGCTATGTGCCAGTGGACATACTGCCAACCATTAATGCAGTACTTTGTAACTGAAGAAAACATAAGAACGTGATGATCCTCTAGTAAATTCGAACATTATAAGGAGCGTCTTTCTCTAGCATGCATTTGAGATGATGATATTGTCTAAAAGTGTAAGTAGTGCTGAATCTAAAATGTGCATCATGTGTTCAGATCTGAGAGATTTATGACACAAACTGTAGCAATCAGTCACTAAGGGGTTTAAAATATTGTACTTTAACTGACTATTGTTGATCGTATTGACAAGCAGTCCAGGCCACAATAACAAAACCTGAATGCAGAATAATATAGATGCCAACTATAAAATAAGGTTTTGATTTGTGAAGGGAGGTACATTTTGACACACTGATGTGATGACTTGTGACTTTAATATGTTTTTGGTACAAAATGTGAGTATTGATAATTGATAACTCATTGAAACAATCAGCATTCAGCTAGTTTGGATTGAAGATCAGTTTCAGTGTTTTGATATATGTGAATAAATGTAACTAGTAGCCTAATATAAGACAAGAGCAGCTCTCAGCCATTTTCATTTTATCATAGCAGGTCTCTGAAGGAAAAAAGTTAAAGAGACACCTAAGCTAAGCTGCAAAGCATCAGTCTAGATACTTGAGCTGAACTTAGAATTGGATCCAAAAGCTGGTGACCGTATACACACTAAGTGGTTAAGAGAATAGGTGGATGGACTGAATACAGTATCTTCAGACTTATGACAATGTCAAATGCTGATGACAAATGATCACTCTTGTACTATATTTTCCAGCTTTGAAAAATTCTACAGGATGTTTGCCATTTAAGAGGCATGTCAAGTCCTTTAATACCTTAACCCACTGGAGTGAAAATTTTAAATATGAACCCATATAATGGCGCTAGCAAGCCAACTCCTTGTCGACAGCCAACGGTATGCAGAAAATTGCAAGCCAAATGTAGCTGAAACGTCTTTTCTTGTTGACTGTGTGACACACTACCATTTCAGGGGAGGAGTACTCATTTAGTAACTAGGACCTTCAAGTTGCAGTTCTTCTACTCTGTTTAATTGTGCTTCTTTCTTCTTCTTCTTCTTCTCATTACTCTACAAGCAATTAATCTGCCATACCACCAGCCACAGAATAAAAGAATCTGAATCCACTGCACATCCATCATATGCTCTGACAGATTATTAGGTTGATGAGTGCCTATTGAGCATGTGTTATAGCCAGAATGATGCTTATTGACCAGGCCCACTGTCTACACAGTGAGCAGAACCTGACTAGGACTGACCTGTCAGGTTTGGCCCAGAACGCACTAATTACTCTAGATGCTGACCCACTTCTTTCTCATATATTTTACTGATCATCAATAGAGAATAAGACAATGCTAAGAATTTTTGTAGTAAAACTGATTTTTGACTGCACTGTGCCTACAGACCAGGTGATGATACACCACATAAGGGCTGTAGACAGTGATGTAGCATCCTGGTTGTTGTTGTTAATTGCTAGTGCACTGCACAACCCACACATCCAGCCCTCCATCCCTGGATGCTTTGAGACAGAATGACATTACAAGTGATCCACCATGCAATTAGACACTGTGAAATGCCTCATAAACTGTCAAACATAATATTGCTCTACATGTCCTTCAGGGACATTCCTGACTCTTATGGGCACTGGATTTCAAATGTGGTGGAGAGGTAATGTTTACTGAATCCACAGCATGCTTTTAATGTCAATTTGTATGCAATTCTATAAAGATGCAGCACTAGAGAAGTCAGAGGTCTGTGCTCAGATAATCAATAACCAGTGTGCCCATCATCAATAACTTAACAGAGAGCAGTGCAGTATAAACAGAAACACAAAGTGGGCTGCTACTGGGATCCTATTGCATAACAGCTGTGGCGATGGAGGATTGCCATCTACACCACCAGCTGCACACTGCCATTTCAGGGGGTGTGCATTCATTTTACAACCGGTACCTTCAAAGCCATTTCACGTCCTTGCTTTATTATATCGGGCAAAAAAGCAGCAAGAATACATAATATTTGCAGAGCTAGCATGGCTAAAAGAGGAGGGGGGAAACCACGACCACTAAGAGTGGATGGAGAGACTCAGAAAAGATACCCCACCCGAGTACTGAGGCAGACACGCGCACGTACACTAGATTTTGCTACTGTCAGCTTTTGATATCATTAATATTTGAATAATACAAGACCACTATGTCTATGTGGATAAATGAAATGCCATTAACGCCTAGTACAAAAGCCAATCAACATCCCTAACGTTACATGGCTGCTTACAGGCGTTTTCATGATAAATGGTGGAAACACTTCTTAGCTAACTCGGCTCAGTGTGAGCTCGTTAGCTCGCTGTCTACTCACCCATCTCAACAGGATGTTGCTCCGGAGAATAATCCGGGGTGTTTTAACTCTCCAGGACAGCTGTAAACCGAGGCGTACTAGCCAGAGGCCCCGCTTTGTACGCACTATCCGTCTATTTAAATAGGTGAAAACAGCGGGTTTGGTTAGCTAGCTAGCCGGTAAGGTAGCTACAGCAGCCGCCGGGCCGCCAGCTCAGATGGGTCCTGCCGTACAGCAGCCTGTACACCGGGTGACTGTGTTATTAACACATCTAACTTCCTCTCACATCCACCTCTATTACCACAACCTACGTACTGACGCTCCTTTGGACGACTACCTCAGTGACACGCCACAGTCACTGCAGACAGACGAGAGGAAGAACAGCACTTCCGGCCATAGCCTTCAAAATAAAACCCTTTTATGAAACATGATTTAAAAAAAAAAAACAAAAGCCAAACCCTAAGCAGATATTTGGGGATAATACCCACATCGTTTAACCAAATGAAAGCAGCAACGGACGTGATTTGTTTTAATGTAAAACGTTTTTGCTTCTGAAGCATAAGGTCGGTCATTTTCTATATAGTATTTTTAACTTTCCCCATTCAGAGGGGGAAATGAAATCTGTAATGACTGTTAATGTCTGTCAGTCTGCACTCTGCTTTAGGCTATTCGTCTGTACCACAGACTTCCGTTATTGTTCAAAAACGATTAAAACACATCAGTGAAACACTCCTCTACACTAGGCGACACGTTTCTTCATGACAAAACAGAACACCCCAGTATTTGTTAAAAATGTTGCTCCAAACGAACATAAAATGTCAAGCCGTAAGCTAAAGCCCAATGCGCATGCGTGAGATGTCCAAGAAGGGAAAATGGGGCTCATGTACCGTTAACAAAGTATAGAATTAACACTGTACCACTTTACACTGGTAGATAACACGGGTGATGCATCGCCCGAGAAGACCAGAATCTGAACCCAGACGTTTCTTACTGTGAGCCAACAGTGCTCGCCACTGCACCACCTCACCACTTTGCAATATGCTTGTCTTATTAGCAACTGTCTCAATAGTTACCATAATGGGGGATGCAAGTCTCAGCAGCCCTGGAATCTGCTCTGAAAATGCATCTTAACTTTTCATTTCAGAAAAGTTTTGTTACCAGCACATAATTGAAGTGTTTTACATAGACAGTGAGATAATTAAAAATCTAACAGTTTTAATAGCTACAATAAAAATAATAAAATAAATGTGAGATGCAAATGTCAGCACAAAACAGCCTAGGTCAGGACATGAAGCTAGAACCTTTTTGTTGTGAGGCAACAGTGTTAAGCACTGCATGTCATATTTGCAAGTCTCTGCAGCTAACATCAGCAGCTGTGAAATCTGCATCTCCCCTTAACTTTAATTTCAGTCAGGTAATATGACCAGCACATACTGGGAGTTATTTTACAGTGAGATACTTAAATATGTAACATTTATCTTAAAAAAAAAATACTGTACTGTACTAAACCTGGCCCAGCTGTCAGCAGTTAACTTTGGTCACGTGATTACAAGTAGTCTGTGAACATTCACTTCCAGAAACCATCTTTGAACAGAGCAGAGAAACAGAGAGGGGAGCTGTCAGTGGCACAGTAGATGGCAGCAGAGTTACATAACAGATTTGAAGGAGAACTCTATTAGCAGGAGTGTTGTGGTGAGGGAGATACTAGAAACCTGGCACCCTCAGAAACCTCAGAGCTATAGAAGGGGGAATTGTTTGGTTTTCCCTATGTAATAATAGTGATAACAGTAAGGTCTAGACCTTACTTTATAAAGTGTCCTGAGATGACTTATGTTGTGATTTGGCGCTATACAAATAAAATTGATTTGATTTGAAGTAGTGTCAGCATCACCAGAAAGATTTGAACAGTGGTCAATCAGTTTGAGAGTGATAGCTGGTTCTAATCCTGTGTTTACAGATTTTTATTACTCAGGGGTGGGAGGCAGAAATGATTAAATGCATTAGAACTCATATTTAAAGCTGAGGCAACAATCAGTTGTTGTACATTAGTTTACATTGTTTATTCAGTATAATAAATGAATGCCAAATAAACAACTTTAAATATTATAATATGAATTAATTTAAATCCAGATAGCAGCATTGAACATACTATTAATAACAGGCCCCGATACAAATATGCAAGAGGCCCTCCTTTCCTCTGAGGAGGCCACCCCCGGCCACCTCACTAGCCCCACCCCTGTCAATACTGCTATCTCTATGTTGCAACAGCCCTTGTTAAAATCAAGTACATTAACCGTAATCTGCAAATACAACAAGATTACAATTTAATTGTGTATTATTGTGACATATAGTAATAAAGCCATTCTTTCTCAGGGTCAGGGTAAGATCGCTCTCCAAATCTGTAGTGGGAGTAACATGTCTATAATGCTATAAAACAGCAGCGTGAATGCGTCACACAGGCATCACAGTGTGCTGAGAAAAGAGAGCAGAAAAATGCTGAGATTATTTTAAAAATGTCACCCCTATAAGCACTGCAGATGCATGTCTTTGATTCAGGTGTGACTGGAGCTGTATTAAAAGAGGGAAAGGGTCCACTGAGGCTACATATGGTTGCAATCCATAATTTTGTGCTACCCCACTGTCTATAAGAACAGTCTGTTGAGTCAGGCAATTATAAATAATCAGACTGTAGTTATAAGATAAAGACAGTTACTTTTCACACAACAGCTACAGTCTTTCTGTGTAAGACGACAATTTAAAGACTGTAACCAAATATTTGACACTTTATCATGGAATTAATGATGAGACAGAACATATGACTGAATTTCACTGAGTTTCAGTTTGTGAATATGCTCTAGGTTGGGATGATAAGCTGTCATCATGTAAAGGCTTAGAAGAAATCTCATATTTTAAAATGCATCTCCACAGGGAAAACCTATAATTCCTTTTTTATTCCTCATTTCACTGCCTACAACACAGGCTGGCATCACTCATTAACTGGAGAAAATGTCAGAGACACCTTATGTGGGGGAAGGGAGAGGGAGAAAAAAATGGAGGGGGAGGGAAAAGGCACCCGCCTCCCTCCCTTTCTCTCCTTCCCGACACGCTCTCCCTCCTTCACACCAATGCTGGCTATCAGCAGCGTCTGACGACCGCATCCTACATACTTCTCTGCTTCGTCTGCATCTGACATCCCGACCACAGGAGCCTTCTGTGTCCCCACGGGGGCCATTGTTGTTTCTGCCCTTTTTTGGGGGGACATAAAAAAGCAACACCATGGACATGATGGGTAACAAAGAGCGACATGGCATGAATTTCAAAGGCTTGCTGAAGAAGAACTGGCTTCTGATTGCCACGATTTTGTCAGTGCTGCTCGGTATGTGGAAGCCCCTTAATGTCTGCTCATGTATGCTAAGAAAATGAAACACTTTCACCGTCATTGGTGCCATTTTTACCTATATTTATTCCATTGCTCTTTGTTTTACCTTTCAGATTTGCTTTCATTTGCTGTCATTGCTGAAATAATCAGCCTCTTTTGCATCAGCCTTGCACTGCATGAATTAACAGCACCAGAAACGTTAAATGTGTGTTAAGGTGTACGGTACATGCATTGTATTTCATAATTATATTTCATAAAAGAATGGAAGATGTGGAGTAGGGAGATGTAGGAGATATAGTTTCTGTCCTCCAGTGGCAGGTTTCTCCTTCAGTGTCTGGACATGTCTCAGTCAAACGTGACCAGACTGAAGTGACAGTTGGTCTGGGCTCTATGTGAACAGTCCTAGCACTGAAGCAGCACAGCACAATGCACTGAGTATCTACAGGTACTTAAAACATAAGGGCTTAAAAAGGGTTCAGATTATTTGATGTGTTACTAGATGGCTGCTTGACTTTTCCTTTTTTCTGTTTTTTTTACTATTACCCTGCTTGTATTACTAAACTAATTCTGGTTTCATGTAGGCCAACTGTATATTTAAGAAACGACTGAAAATTTTTGGTAATATCCTCATTAGCTTTTTTTCTGAGAGTGAGATTTGAAGATATCAATCTCATATCTTTGCACTAAGTAGAGAGCTGGAGGCAGCATGCATTTAGCCTCACATAGCATAAAGACTAGAAGGAGGAACAGCTAGGCTGGCTCTGTCCACAGTTCAACAATACACCTACAAACACCTCTGCAGTTCAATAATTAACACACTGTAGATAATTTGCTTCATTTGCCCATAAACAGAAATGCAAACAAAACAAATAGTTTACAAACATTTATAAACTCATTTTTGGCAAATAACATTGTATCCATCCACCCACTCAGAGGCCTGGAGGCTAAAGAAATGCTTCTGATGTTTTCTTTTGATGATAGCAAAAAAGAATGACTGCTTTCAGTCAAACTTTCACTGTGGCTTTCTGGGAACTGCAGGTGCTTGGAATTTATCATTGATAAATATACATATACAATATACAAATATGATATGTATTATATAGAATAACATTAATGATTATTACTGTAATTATCAGTAATATGTTTCAGCAGTGTCAGATCCTGTGAACACAGAAAATTAGGTGCCAATATTTTAGATGGAAAGAAAAATGTATTAGCATGAATCTGCAGCAACCAAGGCTGGATTTGTTTGTTTTTTTAACCTTTACCTTTATCTATTCAGGGTACAGCCTGTTTCCTCTGTTTACTGTCTGTGACACTGTCTCCATGTTTTGAGGTATTTTCATGCCACACAGATGGAAGGAGAGGCTTTATACAACACCAGTAAAGTCTGTCCTTCCTCGTTGTTTCTTTTATCTTGATGATCTCACTTTTCAAGGAGCCAGTTTTTATCATTTTATCAAATGACATATTTTATTACTGTTTCTTTTCCAGCTGCAGTAGTAAAAAAAATAATTATTAAAGATGAAGAGCTGCTTGAAATTCAAGGTTGAGTTTTCGAAGGCTGAGTTCAGGAAACTGCATGCTGGTGTGTGGTGCTGTTATAAAATCATGAAGTGAGTCTTTACGACTGCCATCATCATACAGTAATTGCAGCTGTGAAATTAACAACGGACACAGTGTGGCTGATGCAAAGCACCTAAAAATCAGACCCAGCAGGTTTTTGATCTGCAATAAAGACATGCCAATGTGCTGCATCTACATGCAAGAAAAGTAAAAGCTTTGACAGTTTTGACCTTGGTGTCACCTGTTGGCAATATGTGTATTGTCTGTTCAAGGTTCCATATCTTATATTTGAAACCTTCTAAAACAGCTTAGAGTGTCACCGTGTGTCCTTCAGGACCGTCCTCCGGGTTAGTTTGGAAACTGAAGGGAGGAATCTCAACTGTATTTGCTAAAAGACCAAAATGGACACAAAGACAATAATAAAACATTACAAGAAAATTAGCAAAAAGATACAACGCAACCACCTTGAGATGCAAAATAGCTGCTGTTCATAGTCACTTTCAGTCTAAGGGGTCTGTTCACAGTGGCCCATTGTCACATAATCCCTTTATGGCTGTTTAGTCATTTGATAAGCACTTCTGGTGGATTACACCACACCCTGACTCCAGTTCTGTACTCAACACACAAACACACTCACAAGGGTTGTTTTCCGCAGGCTACTGCTAAACAGCTCATTTGAGTTTATAGAGGTTTAGATCCAATATATAGAAATCAGTGCAAAATCATTTTACAAAATATTACAAAACTAACACTTGGTGTTATAGCCACAAGCTTAAAAAGTACTTTCATTTGAGTGTATATCCACTGCAGGTCGTTGTGTGACACTATGATGTTAGTTAGTTATTAAGTCGATTGTTGAAAATTATTTGATTGTATTAACAGGTAATCAGTGTTGGGAAGGTTACTTTCGAAACGTAATAGGTTACAGATATAGTTACCCTGTTAAAATGTAATAAGCAATTTAATTATTTTAATTATTTCATCAAAGTAATGTAACTTATTACTCTTAATTACTTTTTAATTACTTTTCTAAAGAAAGTTTTAAACTGGGCAACAAAGCTGAAAAGCCCCAACATAAACCAGGCAGTGTAAACCTCACAACAGCACCCCACACTTCTTACTGTCAACCTTTTGTTAAAGGTTCTTCAACACAACTTCAGATACATAATATATTACTGCTGAAACATGTAGCCTACTGAACAAACACCAAGCAAGGAAAGAAAATACTGCTGAATTTCCAGCACTGAAAAGGAATCTTTTTTGACAACGTGGCCTCAGCCATGGCATTGTTGGCTGGTCGCAGACAGATATGGCAGACTTATGGCAGTAGATCCCAGCCATAACATTTGAGCGTGCTCTAACCACATTTCAAGCACTACGCAGTTTGCAACTCAGCATTAATGAATGTGCAGACACAGATTTGTAAATGCAAATGCAGATTTGAGAGCATAATCCAGGCAATGCTGGCTCTGCTTCTGATTCTGCACTCAGATTCCTCAGCTGGGGTATGTGTGAAGGTCTGTTGGCCCCAAAGGTTTTGAAAACGAATAAAAGAAATTTTGGAAACTCTTCAGTTTGCAAATCAGACTTTGAGAGACTGCAGCAATGGATTTGTAATAGCAGATTCATATTTAAGAAGGAGGGAGGACCCTCGCTGCTCGTTCAAATCGTCTGTTACACTCATGATTCTGTCCTCCCTCACTCTCAAATTGGTTTCTGCTTTTACAAATCCATGCCTGCGGGCTCTCAAAGTCTGATGTGCAAACTGAAGAGCGCTCATAATTTCTTGGGAGAAATCTGAGAGCGCAGAATCAGAAACAGAGCCCGCTTGGCCTGGATTAAGTTCTCAAATCTGCTTTTGCACTTACAAATCTGTGTCTGTGCGTTCTCAAATGCTTAGTTGAAAACTGAGTAGCACTTGAAATGTGGTGAGAGCGAATATTATGGCTGGGATGTAGTTCTATACAGACTCAAGTAGCTCCATGTTAGCCATCCTACCCATGATGGTGGTATTTGTTCCAACGGCTTTGCTGACCCGAGTTGTCTGGAAATATGCCAAAAAGGCTTTGTACAATACGACAAGATGCAAAGCAGCAAAATGACTGGTGTATATATACATACATAGATATAACCGCTTTGTAATCATCAACATTTTGATCAGTAACTGTATTTTAATTACATTATTTTTCTTAGTAACTGTAACTGATTACAACTTATTTTGTCATTTTCTTACAGTAACTAGGTCCTCCCCAGCACTACAAGTAGAAACATGAAATGTAAAACAGCAGGTAGAACAAAAATATATAAAAAAAATGCTGCAACACTCATTGTTTGCTGGCAGCAACAACTGTTGTTTTGCAACATTAAAATGTGTGCACTGCTCCTGCTAATAATACAGTGGTGCAGGATTACGCACAGTACAGAGAACTGCAGTGAAAAGTTCCACCTGTGAAGAATCTGCAGCCTGCTAAATGGGCAGATTGTGTGTGTGTTCGTGAGTGAGTTACAAAGCAGTAACACAGTATATAGCGGGTTCCTTTTTGATGGATGAATCCAGCTACGGTTTGCTGTGTCATCCCAGTCTTTAACAAGCTGCTTTAATGGTCGTCTGTTATGCGTGATAACACAAATGGTGGTTCAGAGTGCATTACTAAAATCACTGAGTGGGATATATGTTGCATTTATAGCTATAAAATTTATAATGTGGAATTTAGACCAATATGCATTGTGCCTCATGAATTCCATACGACAAAACACCACTGACCTGTGAAATGATGTGAGAGTGTCAGTTGCCTTTGCAGTGGTAATTCTGCATTCATTTAGCTCACAATGAAATTGAATTGTGCATCTATCCTGTGTCCATAGTAGTTGTGTTTCATCATTCAAGCATTTTGATATGTCTTTTATTTTTCTTTCACTGGAAGCAATCATTTCTTATGAATTGACTCTGTTTCACAGGGATCGGTCTGGGCTTCTTGGTTAGAGAGTATGCATCCTTCTCCCAACTCGACAAGCAGTATTTTGGCTTTCCAGGAGAGATCCTAATGCGAATGCTGAAGCTGGTCATCCTCCCACTCATTATTTCAAGCATGATAACAGGTAACTTGAATGTGACCATTTCTAGTTGCACTCCCCGTCCTAAAGTTAGTCATACACCCTCTGTGATGACAGGTACTGGAGTTCATTACAAAAAGTAGACATTAGTAAATCCTGACATGGAAATCATGACATGATATACAGTACTTAAGATGTAATCATCCCAGTAAACACAGGGTAAGTTCATGAATTACCTTTAGAGGTGAGCACCAGCTCAGTGAACCTACAAATTCTGCTTCTGACATCCATTGTCCTGTCCCAATGCAGGAACTAGAATGTCCTTTATAACACACAAATTAGCTGGGTGTTTAAGATGCTTAACTTCACCTTAACCATGATTTAGTTGCAGTAACCTTAACCCTTTCTTAAACATAATCACAGTGTAGTTGCCATGTGTAGATTAAAAAATAAATAAACAAATTGTGGGCATTACAAAAAAGCGTGATATTGATCATAATCCATGTATGAGTAGATTTATCACGGTTATGTTTGGTTGTATATGGTTGGAACAACAATGGAAATTATACCAGTGTATGGACAGTAAAGCTGAAACTGTTATGACAATTTTGATAACTGACTGTGTAGATCACTCTTTAAGATAACATATGGTTATGTCTCTGTTCTACAGTGTAAACAGAAAACAGTGAGGAGCAACACAAGAAAATACAACACAAAATAAACCAGAAGACAGTAGGATGCTCCAGAATGTTTAAAAAATCATTTAGGAGCTGCATCTCCTTTAGTCCATCCACAGCAGCATATCAATGCTCCATTGAAAAAACCTATTGAATTTAAAAGCTTCTTAAAATTAATAGCAGTCATGAGTAAATGAATGTAGGCAGGATTTTGAAAGCAAGGCAAGCCACACATCTTGTTCCATTGATTGTCTGTACCGGTTCCTGAACTGGTTGATGTTACTGAGATATGGTTTACCCACCTGTTTACCATTTTTCTGTAGGAAAAGCCTTTGTATTGATTTGCGCTCTTTGTGCACAGGTATTGCGGCCCTGGACTCTGAGGTATCAGGAAAGATAGGCCTGCGAGCTGTGATTTATTACTTCTCAACAACCATCATTGCAGTTATTCTTGGTGAGTTAATATTTTCCCTTTATCAGGCCACTTCTATAGTTCTCATTATTACTGTATTTATTACAGTTAAAAAGTGAAAGTGGTTGATGATCAGTTTCAGCCCTATTATGAAACCTACTGATTAAGTTATATTGTCATCACAGCACACTGAGTAATGTTATCTGTTGCAGGAATTATTTTGGTGATGACTATTAAACCGGGAATCTCGCAGACAGCTGAGCACATTGACAGAGAAGGGACCACGCCAAACGTCACAACAGTTGACACACTCTTGGACCTCCTCAGGTGACCTCCTATGGAAGTTTATCAATGACAAAAGGTTAAAGAAAGCACAAACCAAATTTCAAGCACTATTCAGTCTGAAAGTCAATTTGTGTATTTATTTGTAAAAAAAATTAGTGTAAAAAATATAACTCATTAAAAAGAAAAAAACCTTACATCTGCTTCAGAAATAGATGTTAGCTAACACGGCCACTATGATAAACAACTTTAAATATACAACTTTTAAGTTTAAGCCACTGCAGTGATATAAAAATGCAAATCATTTGCCAGCAAATTCAACGTGATTTATTGTGAGTGCCCTTTTAAGAAACACCAAATGCTTTCTGGTGATTAAAGAAAAAACACCTCTGTGACAGATTTTATTTTGAAAGTAGAAGGAAGGGCCTAGCATGATAACCCTTCACTTAAAGGTCAGACTGAACAGGTGACACTCTGTTTGAGTTTATACTCAGGAGAGTCAGACAGCACACATCTGTTATGCTTATAGTTCTGTTCTCCAGACTGAGTAGCTCTCAGGTTTGGTTTGTGCCCTATCAAACCTTTTGTCAACAATATACTTCCATAAGCTCCCAGCCATGTGCTAGAAGCCTGTTGTCATTGAATTTTTACTGCCTTTGTAGTTTCACTGCGATGAATCACAAAGTATAAATGATGATAACCACACTTTGTCAGTTTCACCTTAAAAGGATTTGATTTGATTTGATTTATTCTTTCAAGTATGTAAAGACAGTTGATATGTCAACACACATAATTTTACACATATCCAACAAATGCTAATCCAATATCTTATACCTAGTACATGCTTGAATGGAGTAGGAAGAAGTCAGACTTATCCAGTCCTACCCCATGACATCATCTTACCATCATTGGTTTGCAAGCAGTATCACGACATAAATAATTCTCTTCTACACCACACAAGTAATATACTAAAGAATTATAACAGAGTGTTAACATTC